TTTTAGCACGGTCCCAAATTGAGCAAGTCGACCATCGAAATGTGGGATTACCCTTACTTGGAATTCCAACAGCAGGTTCAGCACTTTTTCATACACTAAAGGAACCTGCAATCTGCGGTCAAGCTGCGGGGTCGAACTTCACCTTCTTCTTCTTCTTGGCCATCTTCTTGAACGCCGCCTGACGCAAGAATCGCGAATCGCGATTCGAATCGCTTCGAATCGAAATCACGCCACGCAGAAACGAGCGTGTCGTTGTGTAGAGGAACCTTGCAGGGGCTCTTTAGGGGTTCTACTATTCTCCTCCTACAAGAAACAAAGGAGGCTGGGACACCGTCCCTTTTTTGCTGGTCTCATAGAAAAGGACATGTCCAAAATGTTGGAAAGTTGTAGTTGTACCTTGGAACCCTGCACTGAATGATGACACTCACGCTCCGGCCTCATCAGGCTCCTCGAAGGATTCCTCGCTCAGCTTCAGGGTCTGCGAGGGCCAGGGATTTGGCACGGACCAAATTTGAAGCCCTCAAGGAAATGGGTGTCGTGTTTTGGAGTGTACTCTTTTCGGGGAGGTAATTAAAGGGAACCAAGACGAAACCACATCTTTCTTTTCTTTGGGGGGTCGGTCTGCCTATTTTGGTCCCTACTTTGACACATACCCAAATTTGCCCCCCGTAACGCAATGGACAAGTATGGGCAGAGGGATCTTGAATCAGAAATCGTGCTCAGTCTAGGCGGCCAAAACAGGCCAAGGCAAAAAGGTCATCTCCAACTTCAAAGACAAACAAGCGCGACCGGACATCGGTTTTCGCGACAGCAAATGCGAAGAAAGACGCCGTCGACAGCCTCTCCCGCACACCCCAAACTGAGGGTTTTCTTGAAGCCACTGATTTCAAATTACATTCAACTTCGTTGGCAAACGACCAAAACCCTGGCGATATACCTATGACAACATAACATATAAAAGCAATGCAATACAAAACATCGACTGACAAGACCGAACCCGAGGAGTCGTACTATAGTTTCTGGGAACAATTGGTTGGTGCCATTGAACGGCACTGTCTGGACGCTGGACAGCAATGCTGCCACATGCCACAAAGGGCGAGCAGGAGGGTTTTTAGGCGGACTTGCGGTTGGAAGCGCCCTTCCAAGCCATGTTTTTAAAGGCCTTCAGCCAGCCGGGATGCTCGCGACTCGCACTATGGCCGGCACTGAAGCCGCAGCATTAAACTAATTTTGCCAAACTGCATCAGCAACAATAACGTGATAATGCACTAACAAGTAGATAGTGTGTTTGTTTTGGTCCTATTTTCAGCATACAGTTATGCAACAAAACCACCCTACGCCATTCAGACAGTCCCTATCTGGCCTGGCTCTTCTTCTTCTTGGCCTTGGTCTTGGCCGCCGCCCTGGCCGTCTGACCTGGCCACGTCTCAGTTCAAAGAGCAACCGCCAAACAATAAAACCATTCATCATTCTCGTTGGGCATTCAAATCATTGACCCACAGAACGCCGAAGGTATTGAAAGTAACACTATAACATTACTCATCATTACTCGCAACGCGGGTTTAATGAAACAATTCTCAAACAGCAGCCAACCATGCTGGTCCAGCATGGCCCCCGGATTACCACGTCAAGCAAATCAGTCATCGTTCAAAGCAATAGCAGCAGCAGCAGCAGCAGCAGCAGCAGCAGCAGCAGCAGCAGCAGCAGCAGCAGCAGCACAAGCAACAAAAACGGCAACAGGAAGAACATCAACAAGACAGAAAGGGCAAAAAAAGGGCCATGACCAACCACACAAGCGCTACAAGGTGGCTGCGGAAGGCATGCGCAGGCCTCGCGCCAGCAGGGCGAGGCCAGCCACTGCGCTGCCGGCTGTCCACCTGGCGCTGTTCCTTCCCTGCATCGTCCTTGTCTGGCAAACACACATATGCAGCAATGTCACATGTCAGATACATGTAAAAATAAATATATATAAATAAATAAATACATATGTATATATATATATATATATGTGTGTTATCAATAAATTATCATCTCACACCCTGCTTTGTTGTACTTTATGGCCGTGAATTTTTTAGGGGTCTGTAACGCGCGACGCGCCACGAATCTTGCTACGGAGGTCTGTAACGGAGGTCCTTGTCACGCAGGTCTGTAACGGAAGAAATATTTCCTGCCAAGCAGTATCAGTAGCACAATGTAGCGCAGCAGAACGGGGTATGCAATGGCTATGTAACGAGGCTTGTAACGAGGCAAAGCAAAGCGCAGGACGCAAAGCGCGCCTCCGCAGCTCCAGCTTGATTGCAGCTACTCAACGCAAGCCAAGCTGCGGAAACAAGCAGGGTCGCTGGCCCAGGCTGGGGTTGGGTCTGTAACGAGGTATGTCACGGCTATGTAACGAGGTCTGCAACGAGGCAAAGCAAAGCGCAGGACGCAAAGCGCGCCTCCGCAGCTCCAGCTTGCTTGCAGCTATTCAACGCAAGCCAAGCTGCGGCAAAAAGGGGGGTCGCTGGCCCGGGCTGGGGTTGGGTCTGTAACGAAGTATGTAACGGCTATGTAACGAGGTCTGCAACAAGGCGCAGCAAAGCACAGTACGCAAAGCGCCTCCGCTTCAGCTTGATTGCAGCTATTCAACGCAAGCCAAGCTGCGGCAAAAAGAGGGCAGTCACGTCACTGGGTTTGTTCATCTAAGGTGTGCAACGAGGGTTTGTTCATCTAAGGTGTGTAACGAGGGGTGTGTAACGAGTCAGCTGGTTTTGCTACAGAGGTCTGTAACGAGATCTGTAACGAGGTCTGTAACGAATGTCCGCCGCGGCTCTGTTACAGACCCTCAAAAAAAATCACTGCCATATTGTAAAATTCGGAACCATATACTATGCGTTACCGTACTAATATACCAACATATGATTGATTATATTGTCTTCTGTTGCATTATGTTAATATACATTTCATGTTTTATATCACGTCATATAATATGAGCACGACCCGTCCCGAGGCCCTAGGGATTGCGCTGAACACGGGGGTGTGCACACTGCACGCACCCAAAGAAATGGCAGAGTTGAACACAAGCAACTACGCAAGTGCACGAGAGGGGCCTCAATAATCTCCGACTTTCACAGGTAAACCCTACATTGTGCCAGCTGTTGCAGCTAGTGAACAGAAACAACTTGAAGCGAAAGGCGCAAGCTACCATCTGCTCATAAGATTTTGTTCGGAAGAGTGGAAACAAATGTCCAGAACGAAACATGAGAATCGGCCCGCAAATCAAACATCCCTCCACAAAAAAAAAAAAACATTCTCACCCACAAAGGAAATGCCGCTGATGCCCGGACCCAACGTGCGCACCTGAAGCCTGAGGCTGTACCAGCGGGCTGCGCCAAGTGTCCTATGGATCCAAATCGCGTACACGGAGCCCATATCGAGCAGATCGCTGCGAACTCGCAGATCTGTAAACGGCCCCCCCGAAACAACGCTTGGAAGAGCAAAGTGGTTGACAATTAAAGCAACAGGCTCAGGGCTCGCCACTGAACAAACTGAGCTCCTCCTGTCAAGCAGTTCCTCCGAAGCCACTGCCCATGCTAGATGCATAACAGATGTAAGCATACTATGTATATCAATGTATATCCTATCATCAATCCATGTATAGGTATAAGGTTCTAGTCTTGAAAACAGGGAAAATAACTCTAGCCAGAAGAACGCTGCTTCTCCTGCAGTGCCCGCAGGGGACACGGAGACCGGCGTCGGCCCGGCCTGGGTAGGCACAACACTTTCACGGGGCGGAAAGCGATGTCTAGATATGTCTAGTGACTAGTGTGGCTTGTTTCTTCCCGCAAAGAAGATCCACTCTGCTCTACTGTAGTTTCATTGCTGGCACAGTAACTATTGCCTTATGTGAAAGTGTGGAATCAGTCTCAAATGAATACCAAGTATATAATGTCTTAGTTTAGACTGTACAGATTGGCCCAGTTGTTGTTGTTTTTTTACCCGTCTTGTAGCTGTGCCTGCGTTGGCAGCTTCGTTGCCATTCCATACCTTGAGATCCTCTCCCGCCCTTCATACCATACCCACATCCCAGCTTCAAACAAAACTGTTTCATGCAAAACGACACCATGGCTTCTGCCTAGGAGTGCGCTAAGCTGTCCACGGCCACGAAGGCTTCCATGCTTGCTTCCTGGCGGAATCTCGCGCACCACGGTTTCGCCGAAACCTGTGAAACACGCATCGAACAAGCAGTTCTCGCATACTCTCGCAATGGATCTCTACCGGTTGCGGTATTCAACCTCTATATGTGCTGTCTATGTTGAAAACAAGCACAACGCACGCCAGACATGTTAAACAACAAATAGCAGGGAAGTTGTGTTGCGACTGGGCCCATTGAACAAACTGGCTTTGTTGGTCATGACGTTGCAATCATCTCTGCCATCCTCAGGAAATCTAGTACACCATGTTTCTCGACCGTTGATCATGCAGCACCATTGTCGGCAGCCCAAAATGCCGAGGGTCAGAAACTGAAACACAATGCTCCAAAAGCGAGGGAGCTCTTGGTGTCAGAAAGGGACACCACAAGGAGGCCAGACATTTGGGCGCGGAACACGCGGGTAACGTGCAACACACACACAAACGCACACACACACACAAACGCACACACACACACAACGCCGATGGTCTTGTCTAGCGTTTCAAAGGCCAATGGCAAGCCCTCCCAAACCAAAGCACGCCTCCTTGATGACTGTACCCTGTCTATCATGTCTAAGCACGTAGATGTCTTGGAGGGCACAAGCAACCATGCTCTCTTAAGCATGCTCCGGGGTCCTGGTGCTCAAGGGCGGCACACACCCACGGCTCGTCTTGAGCAACAGCTGCAGTGCAGAAAGCATTGTCCACGCCAAAAGCCACTTGCCCAAAAGTATGGCCAATCAGCATATCCTAGCTTGGGTCTCGTGGCACAGAACCACTCCCATATTCTACACAGACAACTTAAGGTTCTATGGCTGGCATCTCAGGGCTTGGCGACAGGTGTGGTCTCCTTGGCTGCCTCACCTGCTGGGTTCTCCTTCAGAAGCTCCTTGACCTCGAGCTGGGAACTTCCCCCTCCCCCCCCAGCACAAGGCGCAGGCTCCAAATCTTCCATTTCAGCTCTTCTGGCAAAAATAAGAATGATAGATTCCCTTTCAAACCAACAGGGGAAAGTAACAGATATTCTTAAGCAAATGGAAGAGTCATGTTTTGGACAACCTGCCGTGGACCCTTCTCAAGGGCAAGATCTGCTGAAGACCAGTGAATATGATTGAATTTGACCATAAACCCATAAACCTCAAAAAGAACCTGACAGAAGTCTCCCGCGCAAGGACTTCTTTTGCAAAGGGACCTCTGAGCGCCTCACAGCTGCGGACCACTCTTTCTTGGCTTTCTGCCTGATACGATGCGGAGCACCCGTCTGTCAGGTGCGTCGCTATTGGCTGGTGTCGCTATGGGCATCTGTTTGCGCTGACTGTTGGCTGATTGCCAAAGAAGGTGCCGACTCAGTCTTTTGCATTTCTGCAACTTGCAAATGGCCCAGTCAACTACGTGCTTGTTGCTGTCACTTTGAAGAAGACGCCCCATTTTGGGCAGATCACAATTTGAATGTGTTGCTGGGCTAGGGTTGTCGTGGTTCCTCAAGCATAACAAAATGTTGTGGGGTTGATGAGTCGCTCCCGAGCCACCTGGCATGGGAATGTAAAGGTTTGTCAAAAATCGGGACCCCTTTTGGTAGCCCCTTGAAAAGGCCAAGGATCCGTATTTTTGACCGCACCCCATGCGTGTCCTGCCAATGCTCCCCCGTGACCGGCCCTTGCCCAGCATACATTGGAACCTGTCAAACACCGGCATTTTGGCTCACTCATGTCGACACAATTCACTTCAGGTAGTTGGATCATATCCAAGGCATGTAGCATCTATGCGGTCCGTCGACATCTCGGTTCGATCGCGGCATGCTATCCTGTGATCCTGGCTTGAACCACCATATGGCAAGAGGCGCTGTTGAACCACAACACATCCCAAAAGCATCAGGAATCCATGCAGTTGGAATCCCTAGGCGCCAAGCCGAAAAACCCAGTAGTCATGTCCAAGAGGTACCGCCTGGACCAAGCAACACAAGTCTCACTGTTAGTGGCTTAAATTCGGAAACCCAACCACTAAGCGTAACTAGAAGGATCAAACAAGCTAAGTTGAACCGGATGGCTGGTTGAACCACCAAGCAAACAACTGGCGAAACTGTGTCGCCTCCGGCGAGCGAAAGCAACACAAAATTCACTGGGCCCTCCGGCGATTCCTTCCGCAAGGCCTCTGCATACTGTAAAAGTTCCTGCCGAATATCTCCCCTCCCTCCCTCCCTCCCTCCCGACCACCCCTGATGGATACTCCGAATGGAGGTTGCAACGAAACCAGCAACACAGATAGCGGGGTCCTTTTTTTTAGAATTTGGACCAACATGACGCAACGGTGTTCCTTTTCGCCCTTTGCAACCACCAAAAAGGGTACCACCAAAAAAACATACCAATCTCACTCAACTGAATTGATATTGCCATGGCCGATCGCCAAAACCACGGCGACGGCAGCAAAGAGCATCCATTACAAAGACAAACTGAGAACGGTGCAGCACAATCCATTTCAATAGCCAGGAACACATCATCATCATCATCATCAACTGTGCCGATGCCAGCATAGGCTAAGTATAATCATTGCAAGTCACAAGCATCGGCCTGGCACTTGCAGCATTTACAATGCCTCTGTCGACGACTGCCCTAGCAGACCGGTCCTGCATCCGAGGTTAACTTTGTGGGTTTGGATGAACTTCAAACTAGGTTCAGAAGAGGGCCCACTCAACCAAAACAAAGTCTAAAATAAAAGACTCGGCAGCTTGCCTCGAGACAGGAAACAATTTTCCGAGCTCAATGCAAGTGCCTCCTCCTGGCAGAACCTGGACCAGACAGTGTTCAAGCGCTTAATTAGGACGCAAGTCTCCTGCAAAGCTTGTGTGGATGTACACAACACAACTGCGAACACCACAATTGGATTTAGAAAGGTGGGAATGGCCTTCTAAAAAAGAGCAACTTTGAATGCGTTGTGTTGCAAAGGTAGGGAACTTGCCTGCCAAATATCAATGTTTATACCAGCTTCAGGCAACCCATTTGCGCCAATAATATCTTGCGAACGTTGCACCTCACAAACCAAAATGCCCCAAGCATCCCGCCTGGCATTGGGTCATAACACCATTCTAAACCAGTGAAACCCATCTGTTTCTAACCCAACTCACCGATCAAAAGGACACCTATGATCCGAAGTCACCATTCTCGAGCCCTTCTGATTCACATGTCCCGCTTGCCCGCGACGTCTGCGACCGCCCCCGCCCCGACCCTTAAAAAACGTGGCAGGCGTGGGAGCTTGTAGACCTGTGTGTGGTGAACTCCCTCAAAAACTTGGGGGTCGAAACCTGGATTTGGAGCACCCTGTCTTGGGTTAAACCCTAAACCCTAAACCCTAAAAACCTTAACCTAAACCCTAAAAACCCTGAACCTAAACCCTAAAAACCCTAAACCCAAACCCTAAAAACCCTAAACCTAAACCCTAAAAATCCTAAACCTAAACCCTAACAACCCTAAACCTAAACCCTAAAAACACTAAACCTAAACCTCAAAACCCTGAACCTAAACCATGAAAAACCCTAACAAAACCCTAACAACCCTAAACCTAAACCCGAAAGGCAGCGGCAGACATCCCCATAAAGATGCTTGTGGGCGAGCCGCGTGTTTTGTGGGTTACTTGTACAATATTATGTACTATATAATATGTATGCTATGGATGTATGCTAGTATAATCGTCAGCTTCCCAAACACATACCACCCTTCTCAGGTCCTTCTGAGCAGGACAGGCTCTGCCGTAGCTGGATGCTCTCGCCGAAACTTCCTTCAGGTCCTGCCGTGCCGTTTCTTCACTCCGTTTCTTTGGCCTATGGTCATGGTTCCCTCAGCAGGAATCATCATGGTTAATATAACCATAAGAGTCATCATTATGGCTAGGAGTCATCATTCTGGTAGGAAAAAACCTATGGTCATGGCTAGATCAATGATAATCCCTTCTTCCAAATGCTAAACAGTCCCCTAATACTAAAACCGATTTTGAGAATCCCAAATCCGGGAATACTACTTTTAGAAGAGCTAAATACTAAACCAATTCTAAAATAGGCATTGTCCCGCCCGAGCCCAAATCCAGCCTTGTTAGGGAGCCCTTTTTGCACCTTACTACGGCTGTACTACAAAGTTGCGACTTTTGAGCCGGAGCTCCGGGAGTACGTTTTCTTTACTCTCTCCACACAGGGTTCTCCGAAAAACGAACCGGGGACCCCTAATACTAAAACCGGATTGTCCAGGGCGATCCGCTTAGTATTAGGGGGGGGGGGGGGGCGTTTAGCATTGGGGGGAAGGGATTAACAAGGATCTTTCCTACCAAATCACCATCCTAGATAGCCCCAAGCCAAAGAACCGGTCATTTGACCACGGCTCAAATGTTGCCAAATGCGCAGACACAAATGAGGCGTACATGGGATCAATGGCCTTTTGGGGTGGTGTGTGGCCTCAAAGGAATGCTCACTGGATTCGATGCAAAGAAATACTCCACAAGCTTTCTTCAAGCAAGAGGCAGTGCCGCTGCGGCTCTAAGTGGACCAGGTTCAAACCAACAAGTACCAAACGTCATCAAACAGATGGGCGCCTTCGTTGTGAAAAAGTCACCCATCCCGGATTTCCTCTATCGAATTTGACCAGTTTGTTCGAGACTGATGGACCACAGCGTATCAAAAACATGGAACCTGGCGGTCGCAGAAACAGGGAATGTCCATACGCGGGGTCCCCAGTAGCCCAAACAGACCACATGCTTGATCGTCCGTTCCTTGATCCACTGTTTCGCCCCCCCATCTGCTAAGTGAGAATTTGGTGAGCGTATCCCTCCACAAAGGTCGATGAGACTTGAGATAACTCACATGCCCCAGCAATGGCTCTCCAAAAGCTGCGCAAATCCTGAAGTGACATTCCAAAGTAACTTGACCTCGGTCTCATCGGATTCAATTCAAGGTTGAATCAAGACCTATCTGAGTGGCTAGCCCTGACTTGTGCAAGCAAGGCTGGTCAACCTAAGTCGGTTGACTTTGTTTGCCCCGCTTCCAGCTGTGCTCGCCTCTTCGCACTCCGTTGCGCGGGCGCCGTGGCTCACGTACAATCCTTGAGGGGCAGGTGCCAACGGAAGGACCAAACGAGTGGCTCCCGGGCAATTCTATCTGAGTTGTTCCCGGATCCCCACTAAAACAACTAAACAACTAAAAAGCTAAGGAACCGGATGGCTGGGAACAATCAAGATATGGCAACAGACCGGTTGTGAACATCGCAGGGGCATTGGCGACCAATATCAGGCGCTGGCACTGGCATCATTGCTCACTGATTGACAAGCCAAATTTGGGTTTGTCTTAGAAGCAGGGGAAAGCTACAATGGTAGGCAATCTTTGAAGCCTCCCAGAAGAAGGTTCCCATGAACAAAAGCAAACCCGCCCAGGTCATACATCATGCGGCACTGCGACAATTGCGTTGGCAAAATTGCCCAAATGCTGGGGCTGGGCGTTACACTAGCCACAACGTTGTGTTCAACTTGTACCATCGTTATCCACCTCTGCAATGCCGGTAGACTTCTGACAGCAACCACACATTGCTAGAATAACCTGAAAATATCAAAAGGCAGGGGCTCCCCTGAAAGGGGGGTCAATCCCCCAAAACAAGGAATCCACCTGTGACATTTTGGTTTGAGGGGTTCTTCTCAAATATGACACGGGACCACTGCAGGAATTGTAGCTGCCACCTAAATACGTTGTCTGTTGACTCTTCAGAACGCGAGCAACAACACTATAAGACACCTCCGAACAGCGCCATTGGAGGTTCCATCGCGCTTGCGTGTGTCTTTCTTTAGCTCTTTAGCGGACCCTCAAAATAGTGGTTGCCTCCCTTTGGATGTTCTGGTAAAAATAGGAAAAAGGACCACCCTTGAAAATTCGAGGGATCCCATCCCTTCAAATTTAAATAATAATAATAATAATAATATTATTATAATTAGAAAACAAAAGAACAAAAAAACACACACGGGGGGTTCCCCCAGAAAAAGCGCCCAGCCACCCGTCTTCTCTCCCGCATCCCTTTCTCGGCACACGGCAAACGGCACTTCGGACGCTTCCAGTCCGAGAGGCGCCGGAGCTTCGCGCGCAGCAGCTTCGCGATGGGCCTCGGAGGCCCCAGGTCCTTCGGGCGCCAGGCTTTGGGTCATCTGGGTCTGGCGTCCGCTTGGGTTGCCCTGGGCTTTGGCAGGGTTACGTGGGTTTTAGTGTCCATTTACCAGGGCAACCCATGTTTTTGGGTCATCTGGGGCTGGTTGTGGCGTTTTTAGTTGTTGTTTCCATGTACCAGGGCAACCCATTTTGGGTACCCCGTCTTGACCCACAGCCACCTGTGTGTCATCTTTTTTGGGGGGCAAAACGTACAGGGCCCAGATGGTGTCTTTTTCCAGAGTTAAACCCCTTTTGCCCCCCAAACCACCCAGATGGTGTGTGTGTGTGTGTCTTTTTCCTGAGTTTTTCTTGAAAACACCATCCGACAAACATCCATCTAACGACTTTTTGAGGGGAAACGCAGCACTTCAGCTCGGATGTTTGATCACTGGCTCCTTGGCCTTATCTATAGTCAGCAATGGTTGCCATGGTTGTCCCCTTCAGAGTGTGAACAGGCGTCCTCCGGCCAGATCTCCTGATCTGAGCGGAAGATCATGGGCAGGTCCGGAACTGCATTCTCCGCCCCTGGGAGACGTCTGCACGAGTGCCGTCACTATGCTTTGGCCCTCCTTGAATTGAAAAAGACAGCCTCCCCAAGTGGCGAGGCAGCCAGAATCAAACATGTGTAACGGAAGGCTCTCTTTCTATGGAATTACGCTCAGGTTGAGAAAGAGTACCGCTCTTTCCTGTTGTGATTCATCTCGGAACGATGCTGTATTCGTAGACCTAGCATGCAACTTAGAGCATCTGCTCGTGGGACGCATGGGACGCAGCGATCCACTGAAACATGCAAACGAATCTCTCAATCGGGCGTGAGAAATCAATCAAAATCACTCCCGGCTACAATATGGAGGAAATGCTAGCAACTGCACCGAGGACGGGATACGCATGTCTTCACAACTTGTGGGGTATTGCTTTGCTTCATCATGGTATGTTAAAACTAGGAGGACTCCTCCCAAAACGAGATTCACCCGAAAGGTGTTGGACACGCCAAATCAAACCGCTGGACAGTATCCTTGAGATGTTGTCCGTGGGCTTGGTGCTTATTTGCTGTAGAGGTCGTCCGTGGGCTTGGGCTGTGTTGCTTTGATTTGTTGTTTGTGGGCTTGGCGTGTCCCGGAGAAGTTGCCCGTGGGGCTTAGTTGCTGTTGTTCTTCGCAAGTTGCTGGCCGTGGGCTTGGGTTGATGTTTACTTAAGTTGTCGTTTTCCGTGGGGCTTGGTGTTATTCATCTTAAGTTGTTGTCCTTGTGTGCTTGGGGTGCTTGTTTTTCAGTGCTTGTTCGTGGGACTTTTGGGCCTTGCAAGGATTCATTGTTGCTTTGTGCCACCTGGGCGGTCCTCAGCTCCCCTGCTGAAAGTTTAACTTGTGGGTGAAATTCGGAAACCCAACCACCAAACAAAAAAAAAAAACAGAAAGAAGTTGAACCGGACGATTCGCTGGGAACCGCCTAGGGGTTCTGCTCTCTACCGAAGGCTTGTCCCCCGCCTGGCTGGGCCGCATCCTTCCCCACCCTGGGTTCCACCTCCCGCTCCACCACGAAGACCTGGCAGCATGTTGAGGAAGACCACCGCATTTCCACCGAGTCGTGTCGCTTTGCTGCACTGAAGAACAAACACTTTATTGCCATGGATGTCCTTGTGAACACTAAAATAGTTGGCCCTGGCAAATGGAAGAGAACCAACCTAAACCAGTGCCATCGACTTCTAGCCAAAATAACATATACAAAGGACACCTATGATTATAGCCTGTTCCGTACAAACACTGCTTTCAGCCTGCCTTCTTGACGCCAGCGCGGGTGCGCACCGGCTGCTGAATACCGGACTCCTGCAAAGGGGCCGTTTGTGGTTGGGGAGATGGCGGTTTGCTTGCTTTTGAACGTTCAAAAGAAGAATCGACTTTGAGCCAGACACGGATCAAATGTAGGCAGCTTGAGTGATCTGGGAGGATACCAGAAAACCGAGCAACCAGCACAGTCCAACAACCTTGAGGCGCCCATCCATCACAGGGCTACTTTTAATCCAAAATAATTATTCAATGATCGAGGTCAGGCCAGCTTCCACCGTGCGCAAACAAATTATTCTGCTGGAAGACAGGAACGACTTGCTGATCAGCTTGACTTCCCCCCCTCCTCCCCGCGCGCCTTCCACATGCATTCACAGTTACAGCTTAACGTTACTCATGACAGGCGGTCAATACCGAACGGTGAAAACCTCCTTCTTCCAAATCTTATGCTTGACCCATAGAACACTGGGCAATGCCGCCACGCCTTCACTGCGGCTGCGTTCCGGGTTCGCTGCGCGAAAAGAGCAAGTGAACCAATGCCAAACACATGCCATGTCACAAGGGCACATAGGGCATGGCTCTCTCAACAGTCTGGGTTTGCTGCATTCCGCTGGTTTCTATGCTGCTCAGCGACATGTTGCTGGATTATGCGCCTCCATCTCGTCATCGATGAGGTCATCTGCTGCACCACAAGGCCTGCGAGTGTGAAAGCAAACCTCCTCTTTCAAAAAACCCGGAAGAGGTGCTAAATAAATGGGATGTGAAGCCAAACCTTCATCTCCGATGATCATGAAGCATGGCCGACCAACCTCACACATCCCTTGCATACCCCTAGGCAAGCCATTTATCAAGTTGACTCCACAGATCCTGAAAACATACATCCGAACATCGCCAAAGTTATCTCATAATCTAAGGCTGGATGAGCCTGGCCAGGGCCTAAGGGAGGTTGACTTGCCGGGGTTCGCTTGTTTGACGACGGCCTTCTAGGAATGACCAACACATGACCTTACAAAGGGGAAACGCGTCGTCCAAGTCCTAAACGCTGAGATGGCATTGAAAGGGCAATAGTTTGATGAGGGACGCCGGGGAGGGAGGGGTGGAGGGGGGGGGCAGGGGCGTTCAAAAATGTGAATCTCAGCTTTGCGCTGAAAGGAACACCAGAAGAGAATCAACCATTGGTTCAGGTACCCTTTTTCGAAGAATTGGGTTTGCCACAGGGTTTGAGAGCGACACTGACAGGAAACCACCCATTGGGGAGGGGGGGGCGGGAAATTTTGATACCCCCCCATATTGTTGATACTCCTCTCCATTTTTTGTCTAGTTGCAAGTCACCCTATTCTTTCCAGGGTTTGTCTTTTAGAACCTTCAAAAACATGGGATTCCCAAAGTCGAACAGTTGCCGCTGGAGACCACCTGGGACCCGGACCACCCGGATTCCTCCCATCCGAATCCGCGCGGCCGCGCTGCCCTGAGGTGCCCGACGTGACGGCGAGCTTCGAGAAGTCCATCTTGGCGCGCTCGCAAATCCAGCCGCGCCCGTCCTGCGGACCGCCGAGAGAGAAGATGAGATGTCCGGGCCCCGACCCACCAGCGGACCAGGGGGAAATCAGGGTGTATAGCTACCCCAAGCCACTACCACCAGGGGGAAATCAGGGTGTATACCCTTGACATACAGGGAAACCCCAAAGTCACACCAACTTCTGGCCAGCAATTGTTCCCGCAACCCAATGGAACTCCAACAAGGTTCATGTGCAAACCATAGCTGCTCGCACGTCGGATCCAGGCCCTAAGATTGAGGTCTAAACGAGGTCAGAACGAGGTCTTACCGGGCTGCGAAATCTGCGGCCCAAAGCCTGATTCCACCCAGTCAACCTGTCGTCCTCTCCATCTGCTTCCGGACCCGTTTTTGTGTCCAAAGCCAATTCCCACCAAAGAGATGGCTACGCAACAAAACAAAGCACAGTCACAGGGAATATGCAGGACTACCTTGTAATTGCAGCTGTGGTCCAACTGGTTGGTACAAAAAAGGTCTTCCTACAAGTTCTGCCCAATGTAAACGCAGCTTGGCGCGACTTTGCTGGCATCTTTCCCCACTGTACCTGTGACTCTACGGGCGGGTTGGAGCGACTTCGGGGTTGGACAGTAGTGGTTACACAGTGGTTGTATACCCCGTGTTTCCCTTGGGTGGTGGCTTGCGGGTAGTGGGCATCTGCGCAAAGAGATGCGATCGGCTGGACCTTCGTTCCACGGAAAGCTTCCCATTCTGATCTCAGGGAGCCTTCTTTTCAGGAAACCATCAAACCCAGTGATTGAAAAGAACAATGATTGAAAATAATGGGCGATCAACAATGGGGAATCAACCTCTAGGTTCGTGATTCATGGTTGTGCCTGAAAATAGGAAGCCCCCTAAAATGGCGTGTGTCCTTGTGGTTTCCCTTTGAGACACACAAAAAGGGTGCCCCCAAAAAACACGCACCCACCTGAAGCAATCCTGTGGAAACAAACAAGATATACACTGCATTCAAATCAGTCAAGTGATTGGACCTTGTGGTATGTGACTTGTTTGCCCGTCAATTGCGCGTAAACAACACACATGCGTGCTTCTTGCTTCCCTGTCATACACTGTCACACTTGCCCACCAACCAGATTGGTACATAATGCCAGACTACGCTACTTAGCTTGTGGAAGTTGCAGTAGCTGCTGTTGAAGATAACATGACGCACCTCCAGGCGTGCTATTCCGCAACAGCAAAATCCAGCGTGGACTGTAGCTGCAGGTGGGCAAACATAAACATCAAATTGTTGACCGCAAAGCCATCAAGCCAGTACCAGGGTACCACTTTTTGACTACCCCAAGATACACCTAAACCCAGAGGTTCTCCTTTTGGAGGGAATGCACCACCGCTGGGTTTAGGCTACCCCGGAATACTCAACAAGTGGAACGTGCACAATCAGAGCATAGTGATTTGTGGTCAAATTTATGTGTTGTCTTTGTTTCCGGACCCAGATGCGCGTGGACTGAGCTATCCTCATTTCAATTGTCTTGCAGCATGTATTCTGGAAGCTGCACCACTCCAAATAGTCACGGTCGCTCAGGCAAAAGAGCAAGGCCTGAATGTGGGAGCTGATCAAAGGCCCTTATCACGAAGTCTTTAGTGACAATCCTGGCCACCCCACCTTCAGGTGAAGGTAGGCCCGCCCGTCCACCGGTCGCAGAAACGCGCCGTCGGCGAGGAACTCCTGGGCGACGTCTTCATGTTTCAACAATGGTCAGCCAAACCAGGCGATCTTGATTGAACAGACCGGACTGGCAGGTTTAGCCCTATTCTCAGCTGACGTCTACACACCTCACGCCCCTTGCCTTTGTTTTGCGCTAAGGACCAACATATGCGGGGTTTGTACCTGAATCAACATTGAAAGACGGCTGTCAGTTTCGACTCACTTTGAGAAGTTAGGGGCGTCAAGTCATGCTAAGGGCATCAACCAAAAACATTCATCCAGCAATCAGAACCATGCAAGCAAACTGGGAAACCGATGACTCCTCCTTGGCGTTCAACTTGCCACCCACCACTGCACCTCATCAGGCAAAGTCGACTTCTTCCCGCTGCACATTAGCAACAGGCTGTGACGACATCAGGGATTTGTTTTCAAGTGAATGACAGAAACACTAAGCTTTTAGAACCAACTTGTCCCCCAAGTCATCATTGCAAAGTGTTCAGAAGGCTGGGCCCTTACATTGAAGTGTACATCCGTGGCTTCGTTTGAAGAGGAAGACTGCAGCTGCCCATGCCCTGCCCTATGTTGAACAATCATATGAAACATGTTTCACGCTTTGGCACTGTGCAATCTTTAGGATACATCACAAGATGTTGTTCTTCCTTTGTCCCCAAACGAGGCTCAAGCTGGGCCGCACATCTTAAACCTCAAACATCTCTATTGAAGCAATGTGGGCAGCACTGGAATGTGTCTGCCTCAAGTATTGCAGACATGTTCCTTGCTTGGGAGTCCACGACACAAACACACAAACGCAAGGGGAATTGCGCTTGAGCTGAAGTCAAATTATTCCCTTGCACATACAAATCTAACCGAAGGTCGTTTTGTACAAACTGAAAATCATCCGGTTTTGCCAAATTGAACAGTTGCAACGTGCGTCGCCTCCCTCCGGCCTGTGTAATCTGGATGCGGCAAAATCCTTGGAAGGACACGAATACGAGCATCAAAGGGCGAGCACTTGCTATTCGGCTACAAACCTGACAAACAATCTGATTCATGTTATTTGTTCGGAAGCATCAGGCTACTAAAGCACCGGCACATGTTATTTTGGGGATGACAAGCTGCAGACCAGCGCACAGTGACGGCGTAAAAAAGAATATGCAGCTTAAGCCACCGCGTTGTGCACAGTCACACAATCACATAACACGATAAGCGAATTGCAGCTTCACATAAACCTAGCTGAACCCGTCTGGCAACGCAACGTCATGCAACATGTAAACACCTCACTATGCAAATCTCATCTCTCAAGACTGGTCACATACCTGAGAGAACCCCCATACCTGAGCGAAACCATACCTGAGGGAAAACCCATCCTCAGGGAACTCAATGCGAGGGATCCTACACCTGAAGGAACCCATACTAACAAAACCCATGGCCCATACCTGAGGGAGCCCCAATTGAGCCATACGTTCGACTAACTGAGAGAAAGGAAGGCTTGCGGCAACAAAACGGGCCTGCAACTTCACAAGGCAGCAAAGCACTGGTACTCAAGACCGGCGCGTAGCCAAGTACAACTACAGCAACTTTCAGAATTGCCTGGTACAAGCTGCCTCTATGTGCTGCCTCACATCTTTCATTGATTCCCCTTAGTGCCACATGCGGCCAATTGGTATGCAGGAATAGGGACCCCTATTTCATCACCAACATTAACAATCGGAGGCCAACCTCTAAACTGGGTGGTTGTCCTTTCTCACTTGCCCATAAAAAAAAAAAAATAAAAAAATAAAAGAAAAAAACAAACTAATCTTGAGGAACGACAAAATATGGACCAAATCCGGGAAACCCAAAGGTCAGATCCGGTCGATTCGCTTTCCACTGAGAATCCCCACGCTTCGTGGGACGCCACAAGGGAAACCACCCATTTCTGCCTGATGGATTTTGACTAATCAAGCAACTGAGCTTTGCCTTCCTTTTCTCAAAGCATCCAGAAGTCCAAGGGTGACCTTTTGGGTCCATGACAAAAATTAACCATGGACCAAAAAGAGGAACCTTTTCACAGTCAAAAGGTGGATTTGCTTTGGGCAAGTGAGATAAAAAACACCCCGAAAATGGGCACGTCGAGGTGCTGCGCTACCAGGGTGGTCCGAAAGCGCCGGGCCTCCCCAGAACCGGTGACCTTGCCCTCCTGAGCTCAAAATGTGGGGCCCGGTGTTTTGCTTTTGGAGCCCCGAAATGGTGTCCTTTTGGTTTCCCCAAAAAGTGGTGGTGTTCCTTGTTTTTTTTTTCAAAACGTGGTGGTGTTCCTTTTGGTTCGACTTTGAAACCACCAAAAACGGGTACCAGCTCAAAAAAGACACTGACCCATGGCTGTATGCATATGCGGTGACCCGAATTGGTGCCGATCAGCGCTGAGAAGTCTGTTGAGGGCGCACTAGCAAGCAGTTGGAGTACCAAAACCTGGGATTGAAGCAGTACCATACCAGTGGATGCTTGCGACATATCCCAATAAGTGCTCAAATACCCAAGTTCCCAGTCCCTCAAGTCTCATGAAGAAGGCTCACCCTTTGCACAAACTTGGAAACGCAGGTCCTAAGCCCCCAGAAAGCAACCCCCCTGCCTCCCACATGGCTGTGGGTCAAAACCAATGGTACCATTTTGGGACGCATTTGAGACTTGGGGATTGGGATGTTCACATGGCCACATTCTCAGGGGAACCGCCCTCACTCCTGGGTCATCTGCGGCAGCAGCCGTGCTGCCCGACTCCGCGCAATGACCTGGACATTGGGCGGCTCCAAGGAGCTCTTCTCCGCCTCGAGCACCACCTCCAGGGCTGGGGAGCTGAGTCATAATCCAAACCCGGTATTAAAATGGTCTACCCAGAACCATGTAAAGAATTAAGAAGGCGGCCGCAGCTATTTCTGGTTGGGAGTATCCCTTCCTCACCTTCATCTACCCGGGTTTTGTTTGTGGCTCAGCTGGGCTTGTCCGTTCTTTTTTGGGAGGCGTTTTCTTTTTGGTTGGACAAAGGGAAACAAAAGGAAACCCGCCATCTTGAACCGGGGGTCACCCTTTGAGACAACCTCAGGTTGGGGAGTTGAGGGTGAATGGATGTTTGCTTTTCAACCTGGATCAGACCTCATGGCCTCTTGCACAAGAGGGGGCAAGGGCAAACATGGCGACGGTTCCACAAACAACTCTCAAAGCCATGCCTCCCAAAGAACAACCCAATGCAAAGGAATGAAGGAGTGCAATGATGCCAGGATTGCTAGACCATCTTTTGCATCCATATCTCATCCTGCTGCAGACTTAAATCACCGCCTCCTCGACATTCTTTGTACAGTATGACAGTATTCCAAACTGATCAATCACCAGAAACTATGCAATATGCAACACTACGTCGATGATGTGCAACCTGCAACACCAAATAGAACGAGCAAACCTCAACCACCAACTGCAATTGCCACACACCTAGGTAGCCTTTTGGAAGAAAAAAAGGTGGACTAAAAATCATCTGAACCAGTGGAACCCATCTATTTCTACCCAACACAACCGAAAAAAGGGCCCGCTAGCAATTTCAGCAAACCCCAGAGGTGCATCGCGCGTGCCTTTGCGTACTCCTTGCGGGATCGGCTCGAGACCCAGCCCGTGAAGGCGCGAAGCCGCACGTAGACCCGGCCGTCCTTGCGGTTCACCACCCGGCCGATGGTCTCTGCCCACCTGCCAGACTGGGCTGTTCAAAAATGGAGGCTTGGCCAATCCTAATCCGCAATCCCTATAGGAAAGCCACTACAAAGGGGACCCCTTGCGTAACCCCAGGTAAGGATTAAGGTGATTAAGGATTGCCTTTGAACACTCCCTCTGCCATGATTCTGGGTGGGTGGGGTGGATGGGGTGGGTGGGTGGGATTTTCCGTGTGATGCACACTAATCTATGCAATGTCAGCACTGCAATGCTGGTTCAAATATGATTGACTCCTCGATCAAGTGAAGAGGACTGGGCATTTTGCCAAAGCGCCCAAGCAATGGCTCATCAGTCGGTCCTTTCAGCAGATCCGATCAACTCCCTTTCAGCTACATCTGTCACATGCCCAAACCCTCAGCTCCAGCGCGAAGCTGTTTGTGGGCCAAGGGACACAACCCCAATCTCGGACCCCAAAGAACCTGATGCTCTCCAAGGCAAACCAGCGCAACTTTAGGTCTAACCCCGGGCTCATGTGCAGCTCCCGAAAAACCACGTCTCTCCCCTCGCACAAGGCACTGCTCCGGAGGAAGGTACTCCCCTGTGGCGGTGCTGGTCACATCAGGCTTCACCAGCACCGCCAGCTTGGTGTTGCCCACTACCTCAAAATGTATCCAAGAGGTCCAAGTCTGGAAGCACCACTCAAGGAAACTTCTTTCATTGAAAGGAAAATGGTGGTTGCCAACACTGCTTTGCAACCGACATGGCTCTATCTCAGACGGGCCAGCTAATCGTCTTGGCAGCATAATGCTGAGAGCTTGTTGATGTTCGGCCCTTGTCTCTGTGTGTCAGTTCCGTCATTTAAAGCCGGGCAACCAAACCATAGATTGCCTCGGAAATGCAGGTTGGGCTTCTTCCAATGGTTGAGCCCCCCGGGGAAAATGAGAACATATTTCCAGCAGCGAAATCGATTCCCTTTAAAACCAACACTTTTCAGCACATGGTTAGGTTTTGCTTGCTTCATGGAAAGCCACGACTCTCTCGCGCCCTATGCCAGGATGCTCTGACCCGCTCTGAAAAAGGCTCTGCCTCCTCACACTCCGACAACACCTGAAAGGGGCGCCAAAGTGAGACAGCCGGCCAGCTGCCAGTGGTTGACCGTCTGCTCGTATTCATCCATTGGACACAGGTCATTACTTAAACAAGCCCAACCATCAACCAGTAGCAATGCATTTAACCCATGGAACCCGTGGAATCAACTATCGCCTATCGCCCTACCAACAACTACTAGCTTCTTTGCGGCAACTTGGCGCTCCCTGCCCCGCTCGAACTCATCTGCCCAAGGGTTTACTGCGAGATGGCCCCAACCTAAACCTTCAGGGCAGCCTTTAGCCTCTCTTGCGCTTGTTGCGCATCCCCAGTAGTTAGGAGGTTGAACAGGATCTCATCTGGATAGCGCCAGCTTGGCGCCAAGTTGAGCACAAGCACGAGCTACCTACTTATTCGAACGAGCGCGGGAGACTTTTGTCCAAGACATGCTTTTTTGACAACTGCTTCACTGGAGTTGAGCCTTCACAAAGACTCCGATAAGTGTAACACCTTGATCAGCTATGCGCTCCCCACGTCCGATTCCAGCGAGCACCCTAGTTTTTCTGAGAAATTGAGCGGGACCCCATGTCCCACTTCCCTCGGCTACCGGACATTTTGACCGTCATAAGGCTGTAGCGGGCTCAGGCGTCAGAATGCACACCGTGCCAATATTATTAGAGCACGCGCGTACCTGACTTTCAACACTCAGCAAACGTCTGCACAAGCCGCGTGTACAAACCAGGCGAACATATTACAACTGCAAACAAGAGACGAAGAAGAACTTCCAATTAGATAACTCACTCAAATTGCAACCGGCAACGCATCCCCGCCTGTTATGCTGCAAACAAATTATGCAAGCAAGAAACGCCCTGTGATAGCTTGCTTGGAGCCCGCTACAGTAAGTCATTCGCTAGTGAGCCACAGGGCTTGCCAGAAACATGGAAGCATGGAGCTGAGGGGAATTCCTTGAAACGCATGGAGACCTATTCTTGCTGGTGCTCAGGGACTGAGGGAATGAACACAGGAATTGGTCCCCTTAAAGGAAACCACCAGTTGGATGAATCGGGTCATTTCATGTCTCATTCCCTGCGTCTCTCGCAGCAAGTATTAGACACCACAAAAACGAGATGGTCTCGGAGGCCTTGCTGGCGAGCGATGCTGGCGATGCCGTGGGGGTCCAGCGCAAGCCCGCGTTGCCCGGCGGGGTCTTGTCCAAGCTGCTGAGGGCTTCACACACCACGCCCTCATCGATTTTGCAGCCTCAATCTCTGGAAAATTGATGTGTTTTGGGTTGAGAAACTGGGACAGTCACTTTGCTTACCACCTTCCACCTTCCGGTGTCCATGGGGAGGGGTTGGCGAGGGCTGGGGGTAGTGTGGGCTTGGGGTTGGTTGAGGGTGGCTTAGTTCACGGATGGTTTGGTGATGGTTTAGTGTGGGTTAAGGGTGGGTTTTGGTGGGTGTAGACTTGGTTTAGGACTTGCTGAGGGTTTGTTGAGGGTTGGTTGAGGGTGGGTTTGGGGCTGGTGTGGGGTAGGCTTAGGGTTGGTTTAGACTTGGTTTAGGGACTGATTAGTGCTGGTTTATTGAATTTGGGGTTGTTTTAGGGTGGGTAAAGGGTTGGTACATGGTTGTCTTAAGGTTGGTTTAGTGCTGGTGTGGAGTGGATTTGGGGCTGCTTTGGGGGGTTCAGGGTAGGCTTCGGGCGGGTTTAGGGTTGGCTCACGGTGGGTGTAGGGCGGGGGTAGGGTTGGTTAGTTTAGGAAGGATTTACTTGTTTGGCGAGTCCTTAGAGTTTGTTCAGGGTTGGTTCTGAAATGGTTTGAGGTGGGTTTAGTTGTGGCTTAGGGTGGGTTTTGTGGTGGTAAAGGGTGGGTGGGTTTACTTCTGATTTGGTCTGCTGCTAAAAAGCCACCAAAAACCATCAAAACCTAAACAGCCAGCCCGGAGAAAAGCACAACAAAAAACTAGCAAAATGGCGTGCGACTCGCCAGCCCAGGTGACCGACAGTCCGGGTTCCCTGCCACCCTGCCGACTCGGGGCTCGCAACTGTGATCTGCACACAAATTCGATACCCTCCCACCAGCCAACATGGAAGTGCGCAGACCCCTGTCAAAAGACTACTTTCTTCTTGGAGAGGGCCTTTTTGCACTTCCACGTTAGTTGGTGGGAGGGTAGTGATCCTGTTCGCCGTACCTGTGCGACTATGGTGTGCAATTGCGACTCTAGGTCTAGCGACGAAGCTGGTTGGTCATTGAAGTTGGGACATGTACGTCACCGATATGCATGCTTTGCTTCTCAGGAAAATGTTTGCCGAGAAGCCAATTACAAACATTTAAAGGGATCCGCAATTCTGCGACAAAACATGCAATGCATTGCTAGTATGCCGCAAAGTGGCCTTTCACCTGCAGATTGCCGCTGGCAGCACGTTGCCGTATCTGCGCGATGTAGGAAGCATCCCTGAAGGCTTGGGCGTTGACTTCCGTTAACCAAGGATCGCAAGGGCAAGTGTTCAAGTGCTTAGCCGAACTTTTAGTGGTTTAGTGGAAACCCCAAACAGCTTTCTGGAACCGATGGCTGGGAACCATCCGCACTGTCTTTTGAGTGTGGCGCAGGGCACCACTTCCAGCCACTTGCCACCGGCATTTGGCAGCTCAAAAAGAAATGTACCAAACTGAGTGACTGGCCCCGTGGCAAATGGAAACAAAGAAAACCTGCGGTTTGCCCCGTGGCTCTTCTAATTTCGCGCCACCTGGAAGCCAACAGCGTCGCGAGGGCATGAAGGATCTTCTCCTTGGAGACGTTCTCCGGTCCACCGGCTTGGTCCGCCGCCATCGCCGGCGGCTTTTGGAATGAGAAAAAGGGGGGGTAGCAAAATCCGCTTTTTGGGTGTGAACCAGTGGGTGAAACCAAAACGCCATGGTTTGTTGAACTGCTTTATAAATGTAGTGTTCGGACTCCCATTTTGGGCAGTCTGGCTCCAAATATCAAGGTGAGCTCGGTGTCTTTTGGCTAAGTTCTTATGGCGGAAGCTAGAAGACTTGGCAGGTTGCACGGTTGCATATGTGAACTGCTCCGATACATCCAGCTGTGTGTCTGCATTGAGCCTGCAAGTTGCACAACTACCTAGGCAGATCTAGCAGTGTTCTGGCCCGTGTCGCGAGAAACACATTTGAAGGCATCTCCAAAGAGACAACGAGCATACTGCGGCTTGCCATTTCGCTGTGGTGGGATGCACAAAGCCATTTGCCCAATGTAGCAAAGCGACCGTGGACCCATTGGACACACCACGTCAAGCTTCGTCTGCTTGTCTTTGGAGTGAGGGCGCTCCAATATGGCTTGAACAGCAGCCCATTGACGACATCAAGTTCTGCGAATCCTCTTGCTCTGAGAGTAGCCATTTAAACAAAACATTGAAAATCCATTGCTTGACAGCTCCGGGCAACCCATGAAATTAACAAGGGACTGTAGTCATGTTTCCTCAAGGCAAGCTTGCCATCCATGCAACTCATGCCAGTAAGCCCAAGCCGAAGCAGATGTCCTACAACAAACGAGATCCTCCTGTGCCGATGTGGTTAGCACGACTCTCCCAGGTGTGTTGAGCTTCATTAAAAAAAAAAAAATGCCACCCGCCGCCCGCCGCCCCGCGGACATCTGAGTGCCCCAAGGCCTCCCGCATGTCACACTCAAAGCAGAAGGTTCGCTGTGGGAGGCCCACGCAATGTCTCTTGCGCTTCCTGGAGGCTTAAATGAAAGCTCAGGTGGCACTCAAATCTGACCTTTAAGAGTTGCGCCCTTTTCTCTCAAAGGTATACCCTCTTTCCAACACTGCAAGTGGACATGGGGCTTCCGCACAAGGAAAGAGGGCTTTCAAAGCACTCCCGTCAGCTATGATTGTTGGAGGGAGGCTAATAGGCCACATCTTCATGAGCTCGTGTCACCCCCTTGCAACTGGAAAGAGAACAGGGTTCCACGAGAGCGGCCCCTTCACTGCCATGAATACTTCGATATCCCATCCAAAGCTCCCGCATCGTAGTCATTGGCATGAGACAAGTCAGTGGACAGCTCCTCGGCACTCGGCTTTTCATATGGTTCATTTCATTGCTTTACCATTGAAACTGAACAACCAGCTCCAAAGATTACTTTAAGCCCAATACTCAGATCAATCATGGCCGTCGAGAGGAGATTTGAAACAAACGCGGTAAAAATGCAGGTGCCACTTTTCCTCCCAGCTGTCAATGGCCTCATTCAGGTCAAACAAACATGTCATGGAATTCGCATTCGAAGGCGACAATCTGCCAGCAAAGTAGGAACTGCTGCAGTAGCTGCTAGATCCCAAATATGTTCGCACATTTGCTTCAGGTTGTCTGGGCAAACAACTCCATTCAGTTCGTTTGGATTGGTGGTTTGGGGACTTGAACCCCTGGTTCTTGTAGAGGGTAAATGGGAGACCATCCCTAAAACCAGCAAACCCCAATCCAAACCACCAAATAGGGGGAAGCTGAACCACGGGTCGAAATCACAACATGATACTAAAACCTAAAGATGCAGTTGAAACTTGCGCAGCGGGTTTTGGCTGTCGCAACGTCCAAACACAAATTTGCCGGCTATGGGCATCTGGCCGAACCAATCCTAAAGCTTTAAACCTACTCTCTTTCCCCCAATATGCAAAACGACAGCTTGAAGCAATAGTTGACAAATCCTGCTTTGCGGCTCGGGGAAAAAACGGTTTGATGAAATTGCTGACAGGTTGCCTCGAAGGTACATAGGTTTTAAGCCACTGACCTCTTGATCCTGTGTTGCGCTGCTTTGCTCACAATCCAGCTCCCTTGCCACACTCCAATGAAACACCTTCTCCTATTGCGATTAGTTTCGTCCTGGTCCAAGCCCCAATGCCAACGAGCAATCCCACTCTGCCAGGCGGTCCCTGCTGCGTGCGTGAGCTTGAAGCAGTCATAGCAAAAGAGCTCCACGCAGTCTTGGCAGCGAACCAGCGCAGCCTCACACTCCGGCTGTGCGCAATCGCCATCTTATGGCTACTGAGACGGTGACAACTCTTGTGAAACCCCAAGCTCGGAACTCCCTGTGTGCTTGCAGGCCATCATGTGGCCAACCAAAGGCTGTAGGTGTTGCTGCGGCAACAATTTAGGCATCAAGGTTCGGAAACGACCTATGTATGGGATATGTGTGTCATCATATTGTTCAGTCCCCGCCGTCATAACGAATTCTGCCAGCGTCAAATCATTCGTTTGTGACCTGCAATTCAGTGAAGAGCAAGCAGTCATTGCTTCGACCACACACGGAGTGTTTTGCATGCTCTGAACCTCAATTGTCACAGGACTGCAAACCATCGCTGTGCATGACTCCGACGATTGCTCGTGGGTGCTCATTCCACCAGTTTCAAAGTTATGAAACTCATGACCATGTGGTTTGTACCTTTGAACAAAGCAACCACAAAATAGCCCGGGTCTCCTGTGGTGATGTTTGGTCGCACGTGTCGAAAGCCTGTAAAGCTCAATCCGGGGGATCGGCATTGGCTTTGTAAAGCTTCTACTTAGCCTCCAACAATCACGGAAATAGACAAGGGGGGGGGTTCCTCAAAATGAAAGTTGTCTTCTAACGCCCTCCTGTCAGCTTCTTCCATGATTGGAGGGGCGATCTAGGCGATCTACCTTGGCAGGTTGCGGCAACCGAAAAGCAGTCCAGCCTTGGTGGTGCATTCTGCACACACCGCCTGCTCAATGAACACCAAGGGTGCATCCTGCCCACGCAACGAGCGCGACAGACCCGGTGGATCTCCCAACAATCACGAGATATGTGCGTCCCAATTGTCACAAAGCCATGGCGGGAATGATCAATGTATGCCAAGACACAAGACAAAATATCACGCGTCCAAGGTGGCCCTCCCCACGGCTTGACCCATGCCCATGCTATCAGTGCAAACTCATCCGTGAACTTGCAATGCTGACATGTCCAAGGAACATCATCTTGCTAAGGACATAATCCAGCAGCTGAAAGTCTTGGCAGTTACAATGCCTGTGGTTCCCACTAATGGATTCCCAAGGAAGAAACCAAGCTGGACTTCACTCCCAGCACCAAGCTGCCCGTCTAGTGCTCCTGGCGATTGCCAGTGCTGTGCGTCTCCACCGCGCACTGGTTGCAAAGCACATCATGGCAGCCAGCGGAGATCACCTGCCAACCCAGAGCCAAATCAGCAATCAGCTTCTCATGCATCACGTCTACAAGCTAAATTAAGACATCGTGAACCAAATTGTGATGGTGCGAAAACAACAGTGTTTTATCCTTAGATTACATAACTCTGCTCGAGTCGCTTCACGTCCCTTAGGCACTGATACGTTTCAGTGCAAGGTATGGCTCCCTGATCGAACATACAGTGGATCGTTGTGAAATCCATTTTGCACCAAAGGAATCCTGAAAAAAAGGAATCAACTGCAACTACCACGAAACACCAGCTTCCCATGGTTTCTTAGGTGGTGCACGATTTTGTCCATCCACAGTATCATTCACCGATGCTTATGCGACTTGAAGACGCTACACTGGCGGATGACATCTAGCGCCTGGGTGACATTTACAAGTTCCAGATCGTAGCCCCATTCTCAGACTCGGCCCAACACCAATTGCAGTGTGCTTGTGGCCTAGTCAAAAAGCAAGTCTACCATGATTCTAAGGTGCCAGGTGGATACCCACAATTCGACTGTCCAGGGCACATACCCAAACAAATATTCTTATATGTGGCTCCTAGGTGGGTATGTCATGGTATGTCCATTGAATTTGGGGTATGCAAGCCAAACAACCATAGAACGATTCATATTCCGAAACTGATGAAATGAAGGTGTGAATGTGTTGGAACCTTGCACCTGGGGCATGGCATAGAGGCTCAGAGTAAAAACAAAGACATGCTTTCTGGTGACCATGGGATTTGAATGTACCCTGATGTACCAAAAGGAAAGCACCTCTCTGGATGTACCATGATGTGCCATGTTTGGGCTTTGAAAGGAAGACCAACCCCATGTTTGGATTGAAAGGAAACAACCCATTTTTGGACTTCCCCATGTTGAGACACACCCGTACCAAACCGTTCGCTGCTTCCAGAATGGAAGTCCGAGCTGAGGCAAGCACATCGCCCAAAGCTGTCTGACACTCCACGCAGTACAGCAGGCCTGAGAATGGCGCTGCTTGGGTGATACGTGATACGTGGCCATTGCATCTCTTGAGTTGGCCAACTGTCCGAATGTTTGTGTGGGAAAACAAACTAGGGATGCCGGAGAAGCGGGGATGCGGGAGGATTCCCTCGCAGAAGGAAACCATGTCTAAATATTACCCGACAAATATGTCCACATCCCTGTTTTGTTTGTATCCCTGCTAATTTGCGTCCCCATTCACGCACCATTTGATGTCGTTTGTCAACACTCTGCATTAAGAAATACAAGGAAAACGGGGACACCCCGAAGGCCCATCACAGCCACGTGCCAGTCTTCCCAAAGGCCGCGTCCCAGCGCTCACGTTTGTCGGCCTGAGGGTGAGATCTTCTTCATAAAGCCCACCCGATCCAACTCCAGGTTCACAACCAGCGACTCCACATCGATGCAATTCTGGCAGGTCACTTTCTCAAAACCTATTAACATGGCCCGATCCCCAGAACCGTGCTTCAAGAAGTATCAGAAGGCGGATATCCGCAACTATTTCTGGCGGGGACTGCCCCTTACTAACCTAACCACCTACCCGAATCGGTTTTGAGCACGTGGCTCCAGTGGGTCTTTGGACAGCGCAGGGGAGTTCTTCAACCTGTGCGTGCCTCGTTGGTGCCTTACATCCGATGCCCAGTGGATTTCCATGGGAAAAAAAGGCATTTTTTGGGGGGTTGGTTGAGTTGACTGGGAACCCTTCCCAAGAAAAAGGAAAAACGGGCGGAATCCACTGGGCAACTGCGAATCTCTTGTGAAGGCGTCTGAGCTCTTCGCTGGCCATTGGGTGTGCCAACATACGATGCCAATTCATTGATCAAAAGAACTGATCCTCTAGTACCAAGATACTACCGCTGCGCAAATCAAGTTGCGATCCTGAAAGCCACAAGAGTTACCATGTAAACGGGGGATACCTTACCGATTTGAAAGGAAAGACAGTCGCAGACCAGTGGGGTTCCAGTTCCATGTCTCGGGAAAGAGGGCTCAGCTTGTTCATGTCTACCAACCACTTGAGGGGCTCCCAGATCACCAGCCCAGTTCTTCTTTCACATTCCAGAGTCAGGGTTGATGATATTCCCCCTCGAAAAGCCCTGGCCCAAGCAAGGTGATCCAGGCCAAACGATAATCCTCTTGTTCAAGACATGGTTTGAGCAGCTGAAAGTGTGTAGAACTGTTCAAGTGAACTTGAAACCGGTAGGTGTCGAACGGGACACACTATGCTGTTCTTGTGAAAGCCGGCTTTAAACAAACTTTAGGCAATCGAAAGTCGTAGGAGGATTCCATGTGGGTTGATCGCATGCAAATCGACCCATTGCGCATGCAAATCGCTCCATGTGAGACCTGCTCAGGCCGCCTGAAGGAATGGACAATGGCTGGTTCAAAGGGGTCCCCTTAAAGGAAGACACAAGGGATGGTTTGTACAGGGTCATTCCCTCATTCCCTACTGAGCACCAAGTTTAAAGGGAAGGAATATGAGGCAAAGAGCGAGCCCGTTTCTGGCACTGGCTCCGGGGAGCCCTACCTGGTCATTCACAAGCTCACTTCCAGAGTGCATTGGCCATACCCAAACTTTGTGTCTACCACGGTCCAAACCCCAAAAGTTTACAAGTCCAGGAACTCAGGGAGTGAGTCTATGTCATCTTGAACATTTTTCGGCTGAAGTTGCGCAAACCCAAAAAGGGACTAAAGTCCGAAACGTAGCCAAGGACGCGAGCAACGGAAACAGCTTCATTGGCGCAGCATGGAACAAACAGCAGGACATGGCCTCTATGGTCGTCTGAAACTTGCCGGTGCGCTTGTACCTGCGCATGGGGAGCTTCTGGTTGATCCGTCTGTGGAAACGGGGCAGCAAAACAGAATATCGGATACATCTACGTGGTTGACACAGGCTTTGAAATGCGGTTGCAGCAAACTGCAGCCCTCAAATCTATTGAAAGAGAAAACACCCAATGTGGGCAAGTGGTACTGCAGAAACCTAGCAAATAGCCGTTCTGCAGAAAAAGGCCCAACATGCTATAGTTCACCCTGGGACCATATCCCCCACAATTGACGTTGAGTACGAACAGGATACGCGAAAATTCACCATGGGAATGTGGGAAAGGGGTGTGGGGTTGCTGTTGTGATATGCTGCTTCACCTTGCAGTTCCACTTCATCTGATTATCTCCAAACCGCCAATCCAATGCAAATAAGGGGCGATCATGGGCGGGCGTTATCGTGTTTCGATGCTACCCTGGTCTGACACTGCTTAAAGGGGAAATCAAAGGAACCAGGGCGCGATGGAGACAAACTCACCTGCTTCTTCTCTCCTGTTCGCCCAGCATTTTCCTTCTTTGCCACACGAATTAAGGGCGGGCGCGGAAGAATTGCAGGGCGTTTTATCGCAGGCGGCCCTGCAAAGACAGTGAGTTGTCTGGCAGCCAACTGTCAGATTTGCAGTTAAGTACATCAAGAAACAATAGGCCCAAGCAACACACAACGCGGTGCTTTAATTCTCGAGTCCATCCCTTCTGTTGGATGCCTACGGAGGTTTCCCGAAACCCGTAAGCTGTCCGCTCGCCCAACTGCGCACCTGAAGTAGGCGTCCTCTACGGATGTCTTGATCCTCACAGAGACTTTCAAGTGACTTTTCTGACCCATAAGACTTGGTTTGAAGACGCTCAAACTGAGTCCCTGTCATGCAGTCACTTACATATGCTCAGCTGCTCTGCCGATTCATGTCAGAAGTTCAGCTCGCCTCCATGTTGGCCATCTTAGCAAACAAGTCTCCTGCCTCCTATGTGAATCTGCAGCTAAGCATGAGCTTGGCCTAAATCTGCAACAAACAAAGGCCTAGGAACCTAGGACAGCCAGAACCGACCCAAACCGCAACGAATACACGCAAAAAAAAAGAAAAGAACGCACCAAAGTCATCGTTTGCCTCTGAAACCGCTTTGGGCAAGATCGCCTTTTCCGCAACGGATTTCAGTCGCAGCGCCATGTTGTGCTCCCTCAAAATGCCACGTGCCACCGCCAGCTGCCTGCGGATCAAGTAGGGCTCGTCAGAAGGGCTCACATCCAAGTCCTTCAAGATCTCCTGCGGAGAGCCAAGTTGAACTCTTAGCCCCATGTTGAACCCCAGCAGAACCCAGTCCATTGGCTAATAAACCCTTGATTATGGCTCAACTATGGGAAAGCAGCCCCCAAAAGGGTCTAAAACGGCCATGATTTCATTGTATACTACTACAAATGCATACATGGACGTACACATTCAGTGATTCAGGCTTTGAAACTCAAGCAACTGACCGCAATATGACAACTATAGCGTGTGTCCTCAATGAGCTTGGGGTTGCTCACCCGTCGGACATCCTGGAAGCTGGCATGCCAATCGATCCGCGTTACCACATGAACGCTGACGAGCATATGGGTGGCTCGTCTTGTTGAAGGTACCCATCTTTGGGTGGCTTTAACGGCACGCAAAACCAAAACTGCCATCTTGGCGGTCCCGTAAAAACAGATACTCATATGGCACGAATATGCTGGCCCTCCTTCAGGTGGAATTAGCAAACTGCAACGAATTGGTTCGACTGATCAGGTGGTACAATTCATGCAGGCGCGGCGTATTGGAAGAGAGTTCAGAAGGGACCGAAACGTTTGCACGTTTGTTGTGTATGCTGCCACTAGAGAGCTACAGCAATAGCCAATCCTTAAGACTATCTGCCGAACCTTTATCAACGAACATATTGTGAGACAAGTGTCTTAAGAATAGAAGGCCCTGGTCAATGAAACTAAGCCAGCCATCTATTTCTCACCAAACACCTAAAAAGGACGCCTGTAGTCTTGAAAGTTTGCGTGCACTTATTGAAAACAAGTCACTTGCCAGGACTGCTAAAGACTCAGGTAACTATTTCTACAAGGCCTTAGCTCAAACATTTAGAACCACAGGAATTCAAGCGTACTGGGCACAGGGTCTGATGCCTGGTTCCCCTTTGGCCTCCTACCTGCCTACTCATCTGCAGCCTCGGTTTATAAGGGTCAAAACGCAAAGGCAAATGAGAAAACTAAGCCGCTGCAGCCGCAGCGTATAACCCTGTCGGGCTCTCTGGATGTCAGCCGTCACGCTAGTTCTGCTTTGGCGGCAAAACGGATGCGGCCAGGAAAATGGGGGGTAATTGCTCCCCCTATTAGCAAATCCACCCGTACGAGCAACCAAGTTTTCTCCAAAATCCAAATGCAAGACCTCCCCCCCTTGTACTTTTGACTGACCCAAGCCAAAACAAAACTAAACCTCAGACAGCCCTGACTAGCGGGTTCCTTCAGCACTTCCCTTCTTGCTTAACAAACAACTCAAATTGTAAATTGCAAATTTAATGTCGCCTTTCTAACTTGAATGGACAAAAGCAAAAAAGTCCTTGAGGAATCTCATTCGAAGTCTCTATTTGACAGATTACGATTTTGTTGGTTGTTGTGCCCGGCGAAGGGGGGGACCCCATTTGGACGAGGACCATAGTGAAACCCCGTTGGGAAACGTGACTACTGATACGGGGAAGCGATTGATTTGCTGAGTCAAACATGTGCGAACCCAAAACAGCTTTGTGAACATTTGCGCATGTTTTCGATGGCATTAGCAGGGCCAGCTGAAGTTCGCTGTGTCATCCAAAACAACACAAACAAGCAAGCGAGAAAGCAAAGCAGCTATACGCACCGGTAAACATACAACCTGTTGCACATGCTGTCCACCTTGATTACGCAGCGACCACCAGCGGCCAAGCAGAAACCTGCTCGTCGCCAAACTTTGCAAATGATTGGACAACAGTAGTAAGAGTTCCGTGCAGTCCAAGCTCAGGTCATAATCATGACAACGTCTTCAGCCAGCCAATTCGCCAGGAAAACTGAATCCGCGTCATTCCACCAACAATGAGCCGCAGCAAAACCTTCCGGCACTGAGGTACGAAGGCTAAGCAAGGCAAGCGCCTCTTTGCAAACTCATTGCCTCTGCCAAGCCCTGAAGGCTATGCATCTTAAGAGACAAGAACCTCCCATGACAGTGGCCTTCTCGCCCATGATGGCGCGGTACACGTGGTGCCGCACGCGACTCGGCACCGACCAACTACCAAAAAATATGGACCGCTTGATTGAAATGACTCAGGACCCACGAAATGAGCGAGTTTTGCCCGATACCCTCCCAAAAACACGGAAGACAATTTTGCTCTAGAGACCCTCCTCATTCAAATACCCACTCCGCAACTGACGTGGAACCAGGCCACAGGAGACTAGAGACCCATCCGCAACGACGTCACAATGACGTGCGCTGAAAAAGAATACAAATGAAGGAAAAGTTGAAGGCTTCTCAAAACAAAGAAGCCCATGATCTCCTGATTCTCAATGTCTTGTCTTCCATTTCCTCCACTGTCCACGGCTTTCAAAGCTGAGGCCACCACTAGTGCGGGTCCAAATGAGCCATCTGCAGCTCCTGATTCGACAGAATCGCCGAGGGAGTCCTATGAACGGTACCTTTGGAAAAACGCGGAAAGGAACCAGACATTGAGAGAGGTGCGAAAAGCTGGGCATGCGGCTATACAACTAGTTGGTGAATCTCTACCATATGGAGAATTCGCTGTCATCAAACCAAATGAGAGTGAATGCTGATAATATTTTCATGATGCTCTTATCCCAAACGTGGCCAATGACAAGCCAGAACCTGCCCAGGAGACATGACAAACTATATTGATGACGTGTCGCTTCTGAACACACTTGACAAAGTGAAAACACACCTATGTGCATGGATAGGTGATCCATTCTCAGAAGTGACAGTCTAAGGACCCCCAAATGATCTCTGAAAACGATCGAGGTCATGGCCACTGGTCCGTTGGGCAGCAAATGCACCTGCTTTCTGATTGCCGGGCCCAACGGCCACGGCAATCCTCAAGAGCAGCAATACGGCAAAGCTGGATGGTTCAAAAGGTCTACACCTTGGCTAGCGTCTCAACCATTGGTGGCCCACAGTGATAAAGCAACTTGGTGCCACAGGTGTCTTTTGGAAAAATCGATTGCGCTGGCAAATGAGTAAAGCCAAACTAACCTAAACACCAATGCTTGGAGCGGTATGTGAGGCAGTCTCAACATGTGGACGCCCCTCCTTCTGGGGTTCTCTTTCACATCCAAAGAGTGGATCGTTCCCTATGGGAGGCCACGTGTGGGGTTGTCTTTTTTTGGGCAACTCCCCCCTCCAAAACAAAAATGGCCGTTGTCCTTCTGGTGTGCCGTTAAAAACCACAAAAGGAGGCACCAACTCCAAAAAAGAGGCCTTTTTTTCTTAAAAATGGAGGCAATAAGTCTTTCTACAGATGAAAACATAAATGATAATGGAAAACAAAGTTCAGTATTTGGTATCGGTATAAACCCATGTTTCCTGCAGCTTCCCGGGTGCTTTTTGTTGGGATCTTCTTAGAACGTTTCGGTGAGGCCGCGGCTTTCTGCGAGGCCATCAGGCGTTCCGCCAGCTTGCGGTGAGCCTCTGAGATGGGGTGGTACCTGCCAGCGATTCTGAGTTTAGCGCTTGAGACCTACGTCACACCTATGTCACCTTGAAACATCCCAAAGAGACACTCAAATCTGCGTGGTGCCAGATCCCATCCAACTTTTAGTGGGTTAAATGGTTTAAGTGAAGCCGACTGAAGCCTAAAAACCTAAAACCTAAGGGGATGGTTGCAAGTCACCAAGAACTACGTAATCTCTATTACGGGCCCAAAAGGTAACGTGTCAAATTGAAAAGAGCAATGCAGGCACCCCTGAGGTAGCACAAACACCACACATGCTCGACACAGCTCCAAGGTATCGTGAACCACAAACGGAATTGTGTTCCCAACGCTATCGAAAATATCTCGGGCTTCAAAGGTAGCCGGAATCCGAAACAAACTGTCAGAAGTTGATCCCGGGCCATGGCCGTGATTCGAATTTAGTAAATCCAGCAGGCATTCGCCAGCTATGATTAAACATTGACATAAAGTTCCATTCCACGCACGTGGAAGCTTACAAGGGATTCACCAAACATCGAATGTAAGACGAAAGCACCTGATGTTGACTTTGGAACAAAAGCCCAGCCTCTGACCAACAGGTCCCCTCCGAGATACTCTCTCTAGTCTGGCCCATCAACGGCTGTTGAAGATGGACTGATACGATCTCCAATGCGGCTCGCGTGTTAGCGGGCCAAAAAAAATAAAATAAATCAACAAATAACAATCCAGTGCACACGCGTTCCGTGCGTGTGTGCTGGCAACCACATTTGAATCATCACTGGAGCTCCATGTTCTGAGTCCGCCGGTTTTAGATATTGGCCAGTGTCTTTATGATGGCCATGTTTTTGGAACCTGGTGTGAACAATTGCTAACAGTGTCCAGCACTTCCAAATAGATCACAGAGCTGACCAAAGCATCCGCCCCCGCGCACGGGCGAGTCTCATCCTTGTACTTATAGCAGTACTCTAAGTCGCCATTCCGGACCTGGCGGTCAGAGACAAGAACGCCCAACAACTGGAAAAGTGGGCTGGCTTAACAAAGGCTTACCTGTATCAAGGAATAAGACCTGTACACTTGTTCGCACAAAAGCGTAATATCTATATAAATTATATAAACATGCATCTTTAATATACATAAATTTATACATGGATGCTTCACATAAATGGCGAATCCCTCGTTCTTGTCGGTTCACCCAAACCAAGCCAACGGAATCAAAGCCGCTGATCAATTCGCCTGCCTGGCAGGTCCAGCCCTCGTCCCGCAGGGAGAGGAGACAGTCGCGGATGACCCAGTTGAACTCCGGCTGGGTCTGGCCAAACGCGAGCGAAAATTCATAGCCCTTGCTCCCACGTTGAAAAGCAGGCACCAGGGGGGGGAGCTGCAAAATGTTTTTTTCCCTCATGGCACTTTTTGCTAAATGGTGAACAGCAGGCACTGGATGAATTTCCCTCGGGACTTTTTGCTTGCCATGACAAGGTGGGAAACAGCCACCCGCTCTCCCGCCTTGCCATGGTTGCAGGGACCCGGTCCCAGGCGGAAACTGATCGAGGTCCCACAAACGCCATATTAGTGGGAGGAAGGGTAAGCAATTGGGACAGCCTTTCCAAACAGACCCCTGACTAAAAACTGAATGGTTTGATCAGGGGTCGACGTTAGGGGCCCTAAACCAGAAGTTCAAAGGGAATCCCCGTTGGCAGCCACTAGTGTCCCATTTAACAAGAAGTAGAGGTTCAATTCCCCAACCACCAATCCAAACCACCAACGGGAAGCGACTGCACTTCCAAAAAAAACCACGGCGGCGACGCCATGACGTTGACGCCCAGCTTCTCGGCCATGGCTTGCATGACGTCATCCGTGAACTGCGCCGCCTCCTTCACCTGCACGCTGAGTGGCCAAGCAAAGTACACGCATTTTTGTCCGCGACAAAAATGTGGTGTTTGAAAGAGCATAGCACTTCATGTAGTACACATGGGTGCTCTCCCAAACTGGAGGCTGGATCAATCGCATCAACAACCGGCTGATCTCAAACTTGGATACCGTGCTAACGCCGCCTAACAAAGACTGCTGCTCTACCTGCTCTACCCCCCGCTCTCTCTCTCTCTCTCTCTCTCTCTCTTGTTTTTTCTCTCCCTCCCTCCTCTCCCTGTACACACACACACACAGAGGCGCGCTTTTCTCGTTATTGCAACACTTGCCCCAGGGCATGATTTCCGCGAATCATCAAACGATTGGCCCAGTTTCTTGCAATATCACCGGTGCCTGGTTTATCTGAATGAGATGTCAACATCCCATGATGCTTCCTGTTCTCAGCCACCCAAATAAGCCTGGGTGGCATCCAGAGCAGCAACCGCGGGAACCCTTCCGGAACCCTTCCTGAACCTTGCTGCGAGGACCAATCATGGCTTTCAGCTGATGGGGGAGAAAGAGTCTAAAAGGCAACTCACGGCGTGTTGTGGCTTCCTGTGGGCGACTTGCGACTTGCTCAAGGTCTCCGGCATGTGCATCTCCTTCCGCCCCGGTCCAAAGCTACTTGAAGCTGTCCAAAACCCGAAGCACCCGGAAGAGCCACAACTATCTGGAACCTCAACATTAGACAACTGGACTACAGAAGCGCTTCACCCTGAGTCATAATCAAAACCCGGTATCAAGATGTGCTCTACCCAGAACCCTCCCAAAGAACTAAGAAGGCGGATATCATCCATTTTTACGGCTGGGGCTATCCCATGTAACTAACCTTCAACCGAATCGGTTGGAGGACGTGGCGCCTGGCGCCCTCTGCCCGCAATGCCCGGCGCCTGCCTTGGGCCTCGGCTCATAGGAACTTGAGGGTCTCGCAGGCAGCGGCAGAAGCTGCGGGAGGTCCGGATCTGAGTACCTGCGGCGGAGGCGCTTGGCGCCAGATGCGCATGGAGATGGATCGCTCGTCGTCAGTATCGAAGGGAAACCAACATGAAAACGCTTAAGCCATGTTGGGGTCTGTTGGCGATCACCACACAAAAAGACACACCCCAAAAACGAGGATCAATGGCAACAGCTTGGTGTCGTGTAGATCGTGGAGTGCAGATCGCCCAAATCGAATTAGCAATCCCAAAGGAGGCTGAGCGACAGTTCTGCTCTGCTCCAATGGCCAATATGCGACTCTTTCCCACCGCTTACTCACATCAAAACTGGGCTCACAAACCACCGGTTCAAAGTGGCTACCCCAACGCAAAGATTCCTGGCCTCTTCAGAATTCATGAGTCGGCTGCACATTTAGGCTCAAACCCAGTGCCAGAAATCTGGCTTTCAGCTTCAGCATGACAGCATGGCCCAAAGCCTGACCGTCAAATGGCGCACGTCCGCTGCATGCTTACCTTCTTCCCCTCTTCTGCGAACGGCATGGCGGCAGAACAACAAGCGGCGCCGGAAATCTAATCGGCCAGATCGGCGCTCGGACAGCCCTCGGGTAACGATGATGTTCTGAACAGCTCCGGACTTGGTGGGCTAGTCGTGTCGTGTTGTGCCCTCTTTAGGCCATCTCACGCATTGAGCCCAGACTGGAGCCGACAGGCGAAAGCGAAAGAACCCGAAGCAGCTGGCCAACACAACGAAGACGGGGACAAAGGCGCTATTGTGTGGTGGATGCAATCCCTTGGGGAAAAGTATGATGCCACAAAATGAGAGAAGCACAACTCCTGTTTGCTAGACGTGATCTAAGTTCAGAGCCCGAGGATCAAATTATGCTCACACATGTGCACACTATTCAAGATTCAGAAATCACGCACAAGCTGCTGCTTCTGCTCTCCACATCTCTCCACACCTTGAAACCTGCTGATTTGACTGCCGTGCAGAGCTTACGGCTCTCCAAGAACAAACCTCCCAAATGTCTGTAAAACTTGCTGGTTCCGCAGGTCCCCAACTAGCAACCCTGAACTAGACCCAACTTACAAACCACCCGCCCGCTTTTCTTTGCCGCACCGCTTTTCCCCTTTAAGGGCGCGTGACTCGCTTCGCCTTTCGGTGCATTCGTCGCCACGGGTCACTCGGTCACTGGATCGCCTCGCGGGCGAAGAGTCGCTTGGCCGCCTGCGCGGTGGTCTCCTCCGTGGGCTCCTTCCGGTGGGCGCTGAAGGCGAGGCCCATCCGCAGAAAGACGCGGTCGTAGATTGTGAGGTAGCCTCAACTCAGATGCCCCATGGATTTCCAGGGGAAAAACGGGGCATCAACTTTTTTGGTTGAGTTGAGTTGGGAAGCTTTGCCAAAAACAAAGGAAAAAGGGCACCACTGGGCAACTGGGACAAGCGTTGGCGACGAGACCGCCAAAGCCGCAGTAGTTGATGTTTGAAAAGAAAAAACGAGTTGAGCTTGACCACAGAAGCCTTTAACAGGGCCTCTTTGTTGCAGTTGCATGATGTCTAACTATGCGTATGTGTATATGTAAAAAAGTATAGTGTATGTGTGTTGATATATGAATCTATACATGTGTATATATATATATATGTGTATTGCAAATGGTCACAAGTGCTTCAGTGCATCCGTACTGCAAAACAGGTTTCAGCAAACACCAGTAAAATGACCGATCGCTAACTCCTGTCCTTAAGATATCGTACAGGCGCATTTCTCTCTCTCTCTCTCACGCTCACAATGGCGATAAACCTGAAGCTTTCAGCCACTCTGACATGCAGGATATGTCCCGGGAAGGCAACCCACGACTGTCTGGGGTCCCCGCGGGTGAGAAATGGGGCGCCCAGGAAAAACGTGGGCGCCCCGTCGTGCGCAGTGTCCTGCAAAGCTGCCAGCTGCGGAAAGCAGCCCTCGCTGGTGCGCTGCACATACTCGTGCTTCTCCTTACGGCTTGTCTTGGGTATCAAAAAAGGACTACTGTTTCAACAAAATGACCTACACACTCGTAAACCGCGCAACTTAAGGGAAACACTGTGGGTAAGCTTAGCTACCTCAGCATGTGTACTATGCCCTTGGGTTTATGGGTTCCCTTGTCTGCTTGTGGCCGGGTCGAGCGAGCAAGAACACTCGATTCGCCAGGTCTCAATGTTGAAGATCCGCTCCCCAAGCTCGAAGCCTGCGCCCGAGAGAAGAAAAGAAGCCAAGGGCCTTGCAAGTCGGCGGGGAAACTAACAGGACTCGGTTGGTTTAAGGTTCAATGGGACCCCCTTGGTTGGTTTACTGGGAAACCAAAAGGAAAACCCGATGTTTTTGGGGAGGCCCCCTAAAAAGAGATCCAAGCCGTCCCTAGGCATGGTGATGGAGGAAACCTGTGCAGCCTGTTGAGAGGTTGTAGGCCAATTGGTGTTCTGGCTATGAGCACTTGGCGAATCCAGCACAACTAGTGGTCCCTGAAAAGAACCTGGCTGTTGCATAGCTTGATCCTCGCCGGATAGAAACAAACCTGTGCTTGATGGCCTCTCATGAATCCTACAGTGACCCACTCATGAATTTGCAGCCCACCCGGCACTGATTATGGCCACCCCTGCAATAAGGGCTTGTAGAAGCATGGACATATCACCGATGTCTTGGTGCATCATACAACTCAGAAATTATAGCAGTTCTTTGCTACACAATTATGTTGATCCGCACAAGAAAAACACTGAGTTGTCGTTAATAGGAACGAATGCGATTCGACACCTAAGCTGCTTCAGAATTTCAAAGAGGCTCCAGGTTTGGTCCCAAAACACTGAGTGGCAGCTGTCAGTTGCAAGGCCAAAGGCAAACAATTCGGCTGGCAGCGACATCAAATGTCGAATGCGGCCAACAAAAAGGTGTTGAAATGCAATGGGGCTTGATGATCCTATCAAGGCGCATCATAAATCACCCCTCCAGAGTACGATACGTGAACAAAGTAGTGATTTGCACATAGTCCCTGACTTGTGATCTGATCTTAAGCACGACAGGGCCGCATCTGAGAATCCAGGTGCCCGATACGAATTCGCGCACCGATTGACCTTCACAAGTCTTCTTGGTTGACGTTGGAAGGGGAGCAAATATTTAAACTTTAGCAGTTAAGTGGGGATTTCCCACTAAACCACAATAAGCAAAAATGTAAAATGTTTCCCAACAACAACCATGTCTTGACCCTATATCGCTACTTTGAACATTGGCACACAGAGCCATTCAAATTGACAAGGAACGACAGAGCAAAAAGTCACAATCTAAACGATGACCAGCGGCATCGATCAACCCTGCGGCTGATCGCTCGAAACAAACTGCCACCCCACAGCCTAAGGCCGGAAGTTCATCCCAATTACTGCAGTCTGTCGCAACGTTCAACTCCTGCAGCGTTCCCTTTTTATGGCAAAGTTTATGACTTCGCTTCAAAACAACACATTAAAAACAACACATACTCTGCGAAACGGTTGCTGATCAATGCTGATTATGCTGATTATGAAGTCGACGTGTGATCTTTCCCAAGTCTGACTCTAGCTTGAATGTTGCTCACCCAACATTCAGGAAGCCCAGAGCGACAGGCACCATGGGCATAGTCCGTGCAGTTCAGCGGAGTTGCTCTTCGATGCAACACCCGCTGACATGTTCCTGAAACGGGGAAATCAAACGGCGCGTACTACAACGAGAGGGGTGAGGTTAAGGCTCGAAGGAACGGCTTCTTGCAACAGGTGAATCATACTGATGGACCAAATCCTGCACCAAGGGAAACCATTGCTTGTTGGTATTCACAGGCCAACCATCGTTCGAGGGTTTCTTAGGTGGTGCAGGATCTTGTCCATCCACAGTATGTGTTGAAGAAGGAACGCATTAAATGGGCACAATATTGCTGAAGCAACGAGTTACTTCAGCCGAAACAAGTCAACCCGAAGAGCAGCAAGCACACTCAGACAAACCAACCTGTGCAAGTCAATGAAACCATCAGACGGATTCTGTACAAATACATACATACACATATATATATATATATACAAATGTAATATAAACACTTGGCCAAAAACGAAGAGCCACTGTAGGCGTGCTTGTTTTAAGCTCCTGCATGATGGCATCGATCATGACCTTGGGCCCTGCAATGACGCCGGTGCCCGTGTCGAAGGCGGCGTGGCAGCCCGATTTTTTCGCGCAAAGGCCCTGGCGAACCAGGTTCACAGTGAGATCCTTCATGGCGACCTGGCGCAGGAAATGCCTGGAGGCTCAGTTGCCCCTTAGGGACCCAGAAAAAGGTGATCACGTTTTGGGGCCTTTACTCAAAATAGACCAACCTCGGAAACCAACAAGCGTAAAAGGTTGCTGAGGAAGACCTGGAAAGTGAGGCATGTGCAACCGAACCAACAAACAACCTGGGATTCAAAAGACTCACACGTGGCAAACAACGGTAAACGGGAAGGTGTCTTTGCAATTTAATGTTTTTTAGGATGGAATGGTCTGCGACCCTTTATTTGCTTTCGACTTTGCTAGCGGCAATTTGTGCTTGAGATAGACATCTATGCTCGCCTTGTTTGTCGTGCCACAATGTGTAGCACCCAAATGCTCTCTGGTCAAGGGCTCTAGGCCAAGCAACCCCCACCAAAAGCCTATCAGGGCAAGTGCTCGGCCCAACCAACAATATATTTCTTGCAAAGGCGGAAACACTTACTGTAAACTATACAAGTATTCCCAACAGCCCGTCAACGCCCGCCGGGCTGCTTATTCTGAGCCAGTCACCGATTCTACAACGACGAGTCCTTCTCCCAGCGGAACATGGGCCCTTTGGGCCGGGAAACTCAATTTGACAAAGACCACAGGCGTGGTGCTTCCGGCCATTCGAGTGTTGGAGGTCTACTTCGAGGTTCCCTCATCATTGGTGAAAAAAGACGGGCCACGGTTTCCTCGTGGTTTCCCAGTAAAACCACCCTTACACTCACTTCCTGAGTGGATTGGCCAAAAAGTCCGAGACAGGACATGACCATCTCTTTCACCTTCTTCCTTCCTCTCATCCAAGCATTTGGTGTCTAATGAACATACTTGGGAAGAAGAAAGAAAGAGATGGAAAGAGAACTAGATAAAGGGAAAAGGCATGTCATTCTATGTCTTATTGACATGCCATATCTTTCTTTTCCCTTTATCCCACCAGCCATTTAACTCGTCTTAACCGGTCACCTCCATCTTGGATCTTCTGCGTGACAGAATGACCAAAGGGAAGGGAAGAGCAAGGAATAGAAAAGATGGCCTCTCTCTCATGCCACACCTCTATCTCAGAGAGAAGAGTGGATGGAGCGAGGAGTGAGATGAGAGATAACTTTCTCATCTCCCATCTCTTCCTCCTATCTTTCTTCATCATAATCTCAGTCTAATGTTCACTTTCCACTAAAATGGTCCAAGCCCAAAGAGTACGAAGTCCAGAAGTCCAAAGGACTAAGTACGAGTGAGCCAAAGAGTAAAGTGGCGCTCGATTCGGTATGACAGGCAAGTGGGTTTCTGGATATAACCCACTGAAAGGAGACTTGTAACCTTGGGCAAGTGGAAAATAACCATGGTTATTACCCACTTACCTGAGGTACAATGCCCCTGTAAGTACCCGCAAGCAAAAATACCAAGAAACCTGAGTTTATAACCCCACTTGTAGTCAACATTGTTATTCTGAAAGATGGTCGTCGTCCCTCTCTCGCGGTCTCCTCATTCCCCCTGCGCTTGCAACCCAAATTAACACCACAGCCGTCAACGCGCCTGCCACAGGCCGGTGGTGGTGGAGCTTAAGGGCAGCCACGCGATGTCGGAGCCCAGGCGGCTCGAGGGGATGGAGCCGAAGGAGACCTCCGAGTCCTCCCGGTCGTCCTGGCCGGTGGAAGAAAACAAGTAATCTCTTGGTTGGGGTATAAACTCAGGGGTTATAAACAGGGGTCTCTCAGTTTATTCAGGGGTTTAAAGCCTGGTTGCCTCCAGTTTATGAATCAACCCCAGTTTAATCCAGTGTTCCCCTCCAGTGGTCTGATTCCCTTCCAGTAGAGAGCTGAGAATAAGGGTACCAACTTTTTTTCTGTAGTCTATTTTAGTAGGGGAACCCTCCCCAAAAAAAGGGGGGAAAAAGGGCACTACTGGGGGACCTAGTTGCTGTTGACCCGGCTGTGGTTGTCAAAACCCAGGAAACCCCTGGTGAACATCAAAATAGGTGGCAAATGGATGTTCATCAAAAACAACAACTTTTCAGGGGGGTCCAGCTTAGTAAGGAACCTACAATTATCTGGAAAAAAGGAACCACCTGAGCACTACTCACTCGGTTGCTGTTGCCCCCGCTGCAAACATATTTTGACTTTTTGTGGCTTTAGTGGAAATCCCCGTGATTTCCCAAAAAGTTGAAGTCTACAGATCCAACCCAATAGCAGCCAAGATAAGGGGGGTGCGAAGACGTCGGCAAATGGCATGGCACATGTCCATGTCAGCCATGGTTTTTGGTCACACGTACCATAGGCATGTCAGACTAGCACTTTTTTAGGTTCTTGTTGACAGTTGAGGATTGTTCCAGAAGCTCGCGACTCTGCGGTTTGCCCCCACACGAATCGGCGGGACCCTGGTTTTGGCAACTGTTGATTTGTGGGCTGTTCCCATATGGTGGTGAAAGTCGTTTAGTTTTTTGTGTGATTTCCCTGATGGTCATCCAATGTAAAGGACCTTTTGATCAACCTCCACATGGGTTTGTCTTCAAAAGGACCCCAAAGTTGCTACCCTCAAAAAATAACATGCCCCTTTTCAGCAGCCCTCACATGGGTATTTGTTTCTTGTTTTGTTCCCCTTTCTGTCTCCTTTTGGAGGGGGCCCGTACTCCCTTGAGAAGCCCTCATCACAGATTGTTTTGGCGCCGGGGAGGGGGGGGGCACCTTTGGCGGATCAATTGCATGGGAATATGTCGCCTTCCAACTGGAGGGTGTTCCCCATTCAAAACCAAACACATGCCAAACCTGTCAAGGAGAAAAGTCAGGAGTCCCACCCAGGCAAAAACACAATATCAAATTTAAATCATCATGGGTTGACAGTCATCCAAACGCAGTGCACCAAAAGGTGTGTGGACAGCGCTTAGCCCAAACGCATGCCGTGTACTTTGGATTATCATCCCCGATTTCTCTATTTGGTTTCAACATCTATAAGGAGGTCAACCTCATCCATCTTCTAGGGGAAATGCAAAGCGGGATGGATTTTCAAGTTCCAGCTCGCCTCTGTAGCGAGCCACACGGCAAAGCGATCCTTCTCCAGCTGGTGCGCCTCGAGCAGATTTCTCTGAAGGATTTCAGCAACTGCATTTCGAGTGTGGTGCCATGCCGATGCCTTTCCTCTGGTTTGGGTTTGACATCTGGCTGTGGGTCAAAACCAATAGGATCCTATTTTGGGGTAGGTGCACCACCCATTTTACCCTCTCTCCCACTAACATGGCACCTGAAAGGGGGTCCCTCCAAGAGGAACTTAATCTTCCAGGTACCCTCCCACAGGTGCCATGCTAGTTGGAGGGAGGGTAGTCTATTTTAGTGGGGATTGGGAAGTTCACTGGCGGTACGGGATTTTGACCCATGTCCATCTGAAGATTGGGCTTGAGATCAAGCAGGACATTGGCAATGCACGCAGCTGCTTCCTCAAGAAGCGGGGCGAGGGTTAGGATGACTCCAGGGAAATACAGAATGCAGCTTCAACACGAGCGAAGTTGTCTCCCCGGAAGGCCGCGAAGATACGTCCGGCAAACTCAGCAGCCATGCTGGCTCTTTCGGGTACTGACCCAGTGGCACGCAAAGTGTCTGGAGGGCGCAACTAAACTGGCCTTGCAACATGGCCAGAGATTGGATGCTACACCAAACAACACATCCCACGACGAGCTACTAAACAAAACCACATGAGTCACTATCTTGGCATTGAAGAGGTTTACTCAGAAGTATGTAAAAAGCAATGAGCAAAAGGCCAACCACACCTATTGATGGCAGGGACTGTACGTTCATCTGGGATCGTGTCCTACTAAGCTTCCGGGTCTCGATAGCTCACCTTGAAGGCAAACCACACGTGCCCCCTCGTGCCTCAGCAAGGTTGCCAAAGAAGTTGTACTCCTCAGGGCAGCAAATTTGACGCCGACTTTGGGACTAACAGGTTGGTTTACACCGAAAACCCAGGCAAAGAGAAGCAGCAAACCAACCCAGCCACCCCGAACTTGCGAATTTCCGGCCCTTGGCTGCCAGCTCGGATTCAAAGCAACCCGTTCTGGCCATTCAATCGGCAACTTGCGGCCGTTCGTCCTCAAGCCCGGGCCCTGAAACAACTTCAAAGTGTCGTCTCAGAAATGGCGCTGTCATGCGTCGATGTTTCGATCTTTCAGCCCTGCACGATCCTAAGACAGTCCAACCAGTTGAGTAAGGGCCTAAATATCTACACACACTGTTCTACTATGATCACGCCTCAATGTGGCTTTAAAGTCCCCAACAACCCCATTCTAATCGACTAGGCACTTACTCGGTTGTCCAAAGGACCAAGAAATACAAGGTTAACTTTTTGGGGCCATGGCCAAACAATTGATCAAAACGGGGAAATGGTCAAAAGGACGGCTCTGGACGAGTGAGACTCATTGCAAGCACTTCGCCGGATCAACGCTCACAGAGAAACCCGGCGCCTTGCTACGTGATAGCGCCGGCAGCCCAAGGCCCACCATGCCGTCGAAGGGAAACTGAGGCACAGTGCTCGGCTCGGCTCCCCAAGCTGCGACAGGTAGGGAATAACCGTTCCGGGTGTTGGGAATGAACCGGTTCAGGGTTCCCTTAAAGGAAACCATAGGGGATGGTTTACAGAGGTCATGCCATTTCTCATTCCCTGCTGAGAACCAGCAAGCAAGAATGGGCCAACGTTGTGTTTGAACATGCAACCACCGTTGTTTAAACAAGCTCTGTAGGTTCCCCTTCGAAAGGAACCTCAAGGAGACAGGGTTGTTCAAGCAAGTTTGGCTGTTCGGTGCTAAAGTGACCTTCCGCCATGAAGCCACATGCCCCCAATCATTGACAAAGACATGTTACTCTTCCGGTGCTTCAATTGAAAACCACGTGACTAGATTGAAGGGCACGGTTGTGTTGCATCGTGGCATGTAGCCAAGTCCCATGATAGCACCAGCTTGAGGGCTCGGATTCTGCGGGACGATTCGCGCCATGGACAGGCAAGGGATAACACAAACAGAGTCCCAGGTTGTTCATTCTAATATGAGTCGCCATCAACATCTACCAAAACCCAGCGGTAAACAATCCAAGGGCCGTCTTGCCGCACTTATGGCTGGGGCTCTGCCCCTCAGTCACGTCTTCCTGAGGTTTGACTAGTGGCCCGGAAGCGCTGTGGGCCCTGCGCCCAGGCAAACTGAAAGATGTCCTCGTTTCCGCTATTTCCAAAACAAAAAGGTGCAAACATGGAATATATCTGGCTTCGTTTAGGGTCGCCTTCGTTTTACAGGGGAACCCTATTCCACCTGAATATGTCCTTACGGATTACTTGGGAATCCATCTCAAAACTGCGCCGATCCCTCAGCCGCTGACCAAACTGAACGGCTCATCCGACCTTGGAGGCTGACTCATGTAGGGGCTGATCAATATGCATTTTAGGGCCCTCCAGTTTTGACTATGGGGGAACTTTTCCCAATGGGCATATCATCTTTTAAGTGGTTTTCTCCAATGGTCATGCCATGTAAAGGACCTTTTGATCAAGCCCCATGTAGACACATCGGAAGCCTCATTCGAACTGTTGGATTGTTTGAGCTTGGCACAAATTGCAAACCTGCAGTTGGAAAGCATCTTCTTGCATCTATCTGACCAAACGGAAATCACGCCAACCACCTTAATGCAAAGGTGGAAACAGCTTCTGCGTGATCACATGCTGGCGAAGGGAGCAAAGCGAAAGTCATTTTCGCAGAGCCGTCCATCCTGCGAGGGTTCATGGCGAGGGAGGGCATGGATGAGGATTGTAAAGGATCTAATAATGCATTCTTCCAAGAGATTTTGAGCCGCAGGCATTTGCACGGCCGTCAGGAATTCGGTCTCCGCGCAAATCTGCTGCGGACCGAGGCATACCTGGCAGTTCCAAAAATGGTACCCGAGGTTGGGAAGTGGGGATGCTTGTAACGGAAGAAAAAACGCAGAAGGAGGATGGAAAATCGTCTCTCGGTTTGACAGCAAACTACATGGAAGTAATCGCCATCTCCAGGCTCCTACCAGGCAAACGCCAGTCCAGGTTCCATGATTGAGCTGTCTATGGGGTAAGAGCACACTGACAATCTCTTCAGACTCATCACCTCGTCCAACGTTGCACCTCTTGCAAAGAAACGCCGTTCTGCATATCTGTTGCCTTTCTGCAGGCGCCGATGTCGGATTTGCAGAAACCCTGGAGGCGCCAGTGCTTTCGGCGTATTGAGAGGCCTTGACTCACTGCATCCTAAGCCTGGCATGGGCCCAAGAACACAGCAAGCACGCTCTAGCCCGCCAAAGAGGAGTGGGTAATATAGGATTGCCCCGCCTGTTTTTACTTGGGGTAGGGTACTTGGTCAGTGGGTAATATTCATGGCTATAACCCACTTACCATGGGTGTAAGTCTCCTAAGTGGGTTAAAACCAGGCTTACGAACAACTTACTAAGTACCCTGCCCCTTGAAGTGTATAACTTCCATTAAGGAAATAGTTAAGCATAATGGCATCATGGAAACATAAGACTCCGCATAGAGATTAAATGATTGCGGACACAGTTCAGCATGTTTGAGCTGCAGAATCGCCCTTCTCCAGGCCTCTAGCATGTGCATTTGTTAAGAGACGCACGCGCGCGCACATACACACACACTCCAAACACACCCGTTGAGGAACCTACTTCCACCAAACCGCGCGCACACTTCAACGCAAAAGCCGCAACACCAGCCGCACCAACCGCACCCAACCTTCGAAGATATGACATGAATCCAAGTTAATGTCAACCTAAGTTTTATAATTGGGCCGTATTAATAAAATTCCGGGCCACCGGACCCGCTTTTTCACCCAATACAAATTAAGACGGGGCTAATTCACAAGTTAAATGCAAACATACAACACCGCCCCCCCAAGTCGACCCTTGAAAGCACAACATTAATAAACCACCCAAAAAAACTCCCATAGAAAGAAAATCCCGGAAAGGCGGGGGCAAGCCAAACAAGTTTTTTTGTAGCAGGGAGCAAACCAGTCCAAAATGGTTCAAAAGTAAGCAGGCAGCGTGCAAAAGCTGATGGCACAGAGACACACATGCAACAAGTGTGCAGCGCACCTGGCAAGGTACTTATATAACTGGAACCTTCAGAGTCTCCCCAGCAGACCTCCGATCTCCAAAAACACATGGCCGGGGCAGTGTGGCGTTTGAATGAAATCTCTTTACAAAAGTGATGCCCCAACAGGCCCAGCGTGAGGTACCCCACACAAGCTCCACAAACCCGCATTAGGAAATGGGTTCACATTAATAAACACCCCAAAGCGACCCCTATAGGAAAAACTAGGTATTGGTTACTACGAGTACTACTACAAATACCACAGGTACTACTACGAGTACTACAAGTGCTAGAAGCAGTACGACAAGAACTCTGGAAGCAGTACTACAAGTACTACTACTACTACTACTACTACGAGTACTACCAGTGCTAGAAGCAGTACGACAAGTACTCTGGAAGCAGTACTACAAGTACTACAAATACTAGAAGCAATACTACAAACTGTTTTACGGTACTTTGCCTGGGGAGAAACATAACCCCCAAAAAAAAACAGTTGAGGGGGGACCCCGTTTACGAAAAATGAAGTCGGCATTAATCCAAACAACACCCAGATCCCAATGAAACCAACCTATTGTTTACCCCAGAATAATCAACCCCGAGATATTCCTATTTTTGAGTGTGTTCTCCTCCAAAAGTGATGAATCTCACATCCAAACAGATCCCGAGGAAAGCAACCCAAGCAACCCATCGAAGGAGGCGCCTTGTCCCGCGCCGGCCGACCCGCAGCGTTGCCGCGGCCAACCGCCAGGATCACCTGCGGCCGACTCCTGATCCGTGCTGAGCTGGGGTTACGTCTTTGTATTGGGAAACCTCTTGCGGTTTTAAAGGCAAACCCAAAGGAAACCCGAAGTTTGTGGGTTCCCTGCAAAAAAAGACACAGCCACATGTCCTTCTGAAGAGTTTGGGATTTTGGAGATAGCAGCTCGTCAAATTCTTGGTTTTGGCAGGGCAGGCCAGCGAGTTGAGCTCAGGCAACGCCATATTTCAGGCCGAAGCACCGCGTATTCACCAACTGACGATGCCCAGGTCAAAGAAGGATGCCCAGAACATCTTTGTACAGTGGACAACCCTCCTGGTCGTCAACCTCTTTGAATGTAGCCGAGCGCTGATGCCATCCTTCCCTTGGGGAATGATGCCCGCTCAGGGAGTCTAGCGTGAATCTGGCTGACGCGGAAAATCCAGCTAAGGGTGGTCAGTCTTGCATGGCATGACATCGACATGCACAAAATTGGTTGGCATGGCTTGCTGACCGACCCATATGAGCTCATACAATGATCCATGGTCTCAAGCGATCTGCCTCTCGGCGAGACATCCGGAGAACAATTTGCGGATGCAGTGGATAGCGCTGGCTTGCACCAAATCTACCGGCAATGATATCATGAGGGTGCGTTTTCTTTCTAGCCTACCCCATAAAAATCTAAAAGTGGTGGTTCTCCTTTTATTTTCCCCTAAAAACAACCCCAAAAGCCCATTTTACAGGCTGAACCGGCCAAAGCCGTAGGAAACAGATCTCAGAAGGTCTGGCGGATCAGTTCCTCCGGGACTTCACCCCCGGCAGGAATCAGCTCGCTGCAGTAGTCGTCCCCCTTGAGGCTTCCACCCAACGCCTGACGCTCGCTGTCCGAGCTTGGGATAGGGGGCGGCTCATCGTTTTTTAGGGCACCCCGCACATTGGTGAGATTCCTTTTGTTCCTTTTGGTTTTCCCTTTAAACCACCAAGCAAGTGGTACCCGCACAAAAGACACTTCTAGGTGTTTTTAAACGCCAAGGGCCAAACTCGAAGACTCCTTCGGCATTGTGACTCGCTACAGCACCATTGAAAACCTATACGATGCCGATGTTCAACAGTTTTGGAATACGTTCGTACGTTTGAGTATGTTAAGGCAACTGATTCACGGGAAACATATGTGTTGAAAAAACAAACAAAAAACTGGCCGTCCTCATCTGAAATCTCACTCTCTGAGTGGCCTGAGCCTGTGATCCTTGAAGTCTCACTGCAAGAAACTGCAAAACAAAACAGATAAAATTGCCCGTGCATCCCCAGCTTGCCTGGCAACAGAAGCTGTAAACATCAGACACACCGTATGGCCATATTCTTCCCTGATCAAGTGCCCACCACCCATGAACACAGCGTGCCCTTACAAAAGCAAAGTTCACACCAACTTGTTGCCTCCTAAACTCAGAAAGTACCGGACAGCCTTTTGACTGGGGAATCCGGGGTTCCCACATCCTCCGGAAAATTTCAGAGAGAAATATTAGGGCTCTGAGGCGCGAGGTTCTCAGAACCCAAACCCCCCTTGAGCCCTTCGGATCGAAATACCCTAGTTGTCCACAAAGAGGATACCCAACTACTCCAAACACCTTTTTTTAAGGGCTTCCTTTTTGGAGTAGGGGGTAGTGTAGGTGATGTGGCCATGGGTCAAAATCCCGTACCCCCAGTGAACATCCCAATCCCCACTAAACTAGGTTCCAAAATCGGTGGTGCACCTACCCCAAAATGGGATCCCATTGGTTTTGACCCACAGCCATGGTTCAATCAAGGCAAACATAACCCGCTGCTTCAATTTGATTCGGTGCCTTGGGGATGGCCTCAGAAGGCATGTACTGCAGCAGTACCCGTCGCGTATCTTCGGCCTGCGGGGAAGGCTGGGGGGAAAACGACCACACGTCAAATGTACGAAATGCGGGGTGGTCTTCGGAAGTCTTTGAACGCGTCGCATCACATGCTTCATGTTTTTCCAGTTCATTTACGATGCGGTCTCTGGCTGCTTGTTGGCTGAAAGCAAGCATGAACACAAATCTGTCACACACACATGGGGATGATCAATCTTCCCCGGCTAGCTTGTTTCATTTCAGTGGGAAGGATACCATCTTTTTCTGTTTTTTTTCTCCAAGCACTGGACATCCCATGTTTATGGGAGCTGATGAAATCCACCCCCACCATGGTGAATGGGAGTCACGGTCTCCAGGTCTTTAACTCAGGGACTCCTCCCTGCTTAGCCGAGGAAACCAGTTGAAGGGCGTGAGTCACTGAGTCATCTCCAGCTCTTTTGGCTGGACTCCATGCCTCTCCCGAAAAAACCCGTGGCCTGAAGGGCGACAAAGCAAACCGCCTTAAAACACCTGACACTCCAGCTGAGATGTTCTTCAAATTTCCGTCCAAAACTCATTCAAGAGGTCGGCTTGAAGTGAAATTCCAGTTGTCTCCAGTTTGGTGCTGGAAAGCTGTCGGCTTAGTTCAGTTCCAAAGATCCACACCTGTCTCTACCAATGCGAGCTGCATGGAATCCCAGCCTTGGGCACCACAATCTTGGCAATGGAGCCGGCATCCAGAAATCGCTTGACCATCTGGAAAAGGATGGGGAAGACCCAGGGTGCGTTCACCACAATGACTCTCCTCGGTTCCGTTTCGCGCAAGTGGCGAGCGGCGTGCAGCTCGAGCGAGTGGCTCAAAGTTTAATGATGCGGCGAGCCCAGGCAAATAGAGGCTCTTGGACCCTCGAGAAACAACTTGCCCTATGTATCTAACCCCTACAAGCAACCCCCGCCCCTCTTCACGGCTATCAAGGCATCTTTGGGTTGGTTTTCCTTGCCTGGAGTCACGAGGTCTGGATGCAGCAGGCTGCAGTGCGACTCTTCGCATGTTGTGCCATCAATCAAGCTCTTCAACCCTTTTGACTCGGCTAGATTATCCCAACAGTTCATTCGTCTCATTTCACTCATCCATCGTCTCACCCTGCTTCCAAGGGGACCCCTTTTTAAGGATTCACCAAACGGGGGGGGGGGGTCCCAGATCTCATGATTGTGGATCCCCCGACCCATAGAGTTTTAGGGTCTGATCTTGTTTTGAGAGCTTAGGGTCCATGAATCAAGGGAGTCCCCCTGGAAGAAAAACTCCTACTACAAAGGGACCCCCTGCCCTGAATGGGTGGTGGGTTTATAAGTCACGGGTGCCAAGGCTCTTGAGAACCTCTGGGTAGTTCTCCGACTCGATCTTCCCCAGCTCTTTGCTCAAGGCCAAAAGTCGTCGATCCAGCACACTCATGTCCACTCCCTCCAGGTCAGCGATTACTGTCACCTGTCGATATTTTGTCGACCAAATGCTTAAACAACTTGCTACTTTTTGACGGTCCCTCCCCCCCAACTTTTCAGCATGATGTAGTTTGATACATTCGATCAGGAACGCAAGAATACTGACTGCTCACGCCATAATTCAAATCAAACACTGCTATCAGAGTGGCTCAGCTACAAACGATCCTCATAGTTATGACTCCGATCATTGTACAATCGACCGACGTATATGCATGATAACTCCTGGCTGCAAGAAACTGCCACGCACAAGCTGACAAGTAAGCTTGCCGGCTGGGACAGCAGGTGTATTGGGTCGCTACGTAGGATTGGCCCATTGCCATGAGTCTCTATCTTCTCATATTTGGGTCGAGAACCCGCCTGAAATCCGCACCCACCTTGCTGTCGATAGCAGTCCAGGCTTGCCATGACGCACTCCTGGCCAAACACGACAACTCTGCACTGAATCAAATCCACGAATGCCCCAGCCTCACATCCAACATGATTCTCAAACATGAACAGGGTTCCTGCAGGCCTTGCATCTGCGACATGTCAAAAGAGCAGTGTCAGCGGCAAACAACAGTCAAGCGTGTTGGCTCGCTTTCCAGCTCCGGGAGCCAGCCATGTGCATGAACAAAACGAAGCGAGATGCCAGGGCCAAAGGGTCCCAAGGATGATCTACCTACATCACCTCCATGCATATTGACGCCAGGTCGGGCGTGCTCTCAATGGCCTTACTTCTTACAAAAGCATTTCGCCACGGCACAGCCCTATTTGTTTCAGCTTGGGCAATAGCAAATCTCATTCCATTTCAAGGGGAATCTCGAAAAGTGGCACCAAACACTGCGTCTCTCACTGCGTGTCCGCGTTGTACATCACGTGGCGCTTCAAGAACTCGTCACTGCAGCGCGCTATGCTGGGGCCATGCGCCAGTCCCGTCCTGCAGGCAAAGTCGGAGGAAACCACAAAGCGGCGAATGGGGCAGAGTCGCACTCCGTGTGAATTATTAACTCAATGCTATTGGGTCAAAGTAACCCCCGCAAATTTCTACCGAAGAGGTCCTTCCTTCACTAGGTGATAAGCAAGGCCTGAACTCCCAAAAGCCAGTTCTTTTGTGAAGGAAACTGCGTTTGACGGCGCATTCGCGTGTAAGGACCCGTGCTGTGGAGGTTTCAACTTGTCGAAGCCCCTATCTACGTATGCTCCCTGCTTTGTGAGTAAGGCCAAACCATGAAACAATGCTGCATCTTGGCAAACACGGAAACTATTCCGTGCACCTCTCAAAGCCCGACTTGGCGAGCGCCAGCCTTTTCCAAGCCTAGCCTTCAAACTTGAAATGCCAACCGAAATGATGGTGGGCCAGTTGAGGGGGTTCAGGCTCGCCTGGCATGATTACAACCCACATTGTTTACTGCGGCCAAGGTTTGCGTCAGGCAGCCAGAACATGCACTTGAGGAGTGGGTGAACGAAAGCTAGCAGTTGTTGCATGAGATGGGTCGGTGACAGAGTGGATTCAGAGGTAGCTTGTGTACAACGAGAAGCCCGGCAAGATTCGTAGGATGCGACACGCAAACGCACATGGTAGCGTGGCAAACCTTGAAAAATGAAAACAACGAGAGGCGTCAGAAGCTGTCTTAAAGCACCTCTGGGTTCTGCATGCTGCGTGTGCAAAGATTCTTGCGAGGTGGTTTACTGAGAAGACTGAGGTCTCAAATGAACAAGCTGAATCGGTGGAACATGTAAAAGTTTAGGACACCATGTCCAAAACGGGCAAACCGAGACTGCTGAAACACTGAGCCACTGCCCGGGGGAGGGGGTGGACCAAGGAGGAATCGAGGGGGGGGGGGGGGTCTAAATGATTGATGTTTTTCAATCTTTTCGGCTCAAATAATTGAAAAAATCAATCTTTCGGCAGTTGAGCCCCTTACCTTGCTTACGCAAGGAGAAACTTCAGCTAGCTAAAGCTAGCTTTCGTGATAAAGCCCTTCAAGGACTCCGGTAAGCACCGCTCAGGCAATCGCTTGCATGGTGTCCTCTCGACGACCACAGGGTCACCGTCGCGATCAAGACCCGTGAAGGCCATGCACTTCCAATATCGATCGAAGTGCTCGTGGAAGGCCTGCGCAGGAGCGGTACTCCGGTTATAGCCTCCTGTTCACGTTGCAATGGAGCCAAGAAGTAGGAAAATAGTCGTCTGGCACCCCTCGGTCGGATGCCAGGCTTGTGGATGGGGTGGTATCGACCAAAAAGGGCACGATATGTGCGCGCATTTGGATATGCTGACTGGGCACCAGGCAACTAAGGGTCAAGCCTAGTGATAGTGCCCAAGCCATGCGCCACTTAAGTTTTCCCGCCGAGCTTACCCGGGCCGTGAGTTCCGTTGAGTTTGATAGAGCGGTGTTGCTGCACAGCCAGTGGGGGACACCACACCATCCCCATTTGAGTACCTTCCCTATTCCGCATGGGTGGCTTCCATAAATTGAGGCACGACAGCTAGAAAAAAATGTGTATACACACACACATATATATATATGTATATACAAATGTATGTATATATGTATATGCGTGTATGTATATATATATGAATATAAATATATGAATATACGTATATGTCTACGGCGCCCGCAATTTGTGGTTGATCAAAATCCTGTGTCCGGAAACAAAAACATATTTCGCGCAGCGCGATTCCATTGCAACGCCATGTTGTTTCCAGTGTGCGCTCTGGAGCCACTGTTGCTGCAGATACGCTTGCAAACACAGTAGCCTTGCCGTTGCAGGACTGCTCCGCCCTGGGATTGATTCGTGGAACCTTGCAACAAGCTCCATGGGATTTCGGAGTCAAGCCCAGTCAGCATTTTGCTTTGCGCCAGAACCAGCGCAGGCAGGGAATCAAGGTTTCAAGCAAAGGTGCTGCGCATCTCCCTCATCTACAAGGAAGTGGGGTCTGCAGATACGCAAGCGTGCAAGCATGCCTCCAAGAAGCGTTCGCTGAATCTTTTGCGGGCACAAACACCTACACTGCTACAGTCTTCCAAGTTACAACTCTGCACAATTGGTCTTTGATCAACTTCCAATGAAATAACCGGGTTTTGTACAAATCCAACAAATATGTAAAACGCTATACACCTTGCCATGACACAGCGCCTACTGGCTCAAGCTTGCAGTCGAACAAGCAAAGTAAGGAACAACGGCCTGCAGAAAGCGTCCTCTTGCGCAGGCGACTCAAGCGAGACGGACGCATGGCTACAAACCAGAAAATGTAGGGAAAACACGCCTTCAGTTGAAAATGCGTTAAACAAGGCAAAGCTTGATGTGGGCACCAGGACGACGTGTAAGCGAAAGAAGGTCAGCTGTGAAGAAGGTCTCAGGCCGCCGGTCACTCACCTGCTCTGACAGCATTGTTCCCTTGCAGCTGACGGCCGCGCGGCACCGTCGCACCTTGGCCGCCTTGTCGTCTGTGAAGCCCGACAGCTCGTCGAAGGACAGCTGCAGCTTTGCCAGCTTGCTCTGCAGGCCCTGCTGGTAGGCCTTGGCGTCCTCCTCTCCATGATGTATGGCTGCAGCGCTCCAATTTCCGCGCAATTGCCCCAAAGCCTGGCAGTCTTGCAACACCCTGCTGTCACTGCGATGGCTGCGTATTGTTCGTTGGCGACAAAAAGATGAACATGCTGCTTGCCAACCCCTCCCAATGAAGGGCACGAAGCGTCATGACCAAAATGAAGGGCAGCTGTTCCTGAATAAGATTCTGCTCAGGCCAAGCACCAGCTGACCAACTGTGGCGGGCGCCGCTTTCTCACTCCCTGAAAGCCTGAAAGTTGGACATCGCCCGCGGGGCGGGCAGCCTCGCAGAAACGCTCGAGCAACAAAAGGTTGGTTGTGGGCGCGAAGTATTGCTCACCGTTGATGCTGAGTGGGCCATGGCGGACTCCATCTGCCAAGAAGCAGCGCAGCACTTTCCACTTTCCTGCCAGATGCAGGAGAGACCTAGCCGTTTCCTTTGTCCAGGCAACGCTTAAAGCGGTCCAAGCTTCTTCTGACAGCAAGCAAAGATGGCCACATAGCTTTCCCTCGCCTTGCAAAGTCACTGTTCGTGCGCTGCTGCACAAACAACGTCTGATCCTTGCCAGGACCCAGGCGCGGAAAAACACTTCGTCAAATGATCAACCAAACGGTTCTTGGCTTGCGAATGCGACACGCAACCTGCGTCGAGGCGCTGTTCGAGTGAAAGGCGGCTTGCAGCAGCTGCTGTCAGCGCTGAGCAGCGCGAAAGTTCTGGGGCGTGTTTTGTGCTGAGGCTTGAGAGGGTTCAAGCACACATGGATCTCGATGGCAAACCCACGGCGCTAGTGTCAACCAGAAGCCAAAGGCAAACTCGCGGGCCACGCCCGTTTTCTCTGCACAACGTCAGAGTTAGGACCGAACCGCAGAAGCTTTGCCAGCACCTGCTATCGAGCTAGCTCTCTGCTTCCACATCTCGAGCTCCTTGTCCAAGATCAGGTTCAAGCTCGAGCCGAGATCACGCGACTGGACAAACCAATCGAAAGGCAAGTCTCCGGCAGCGACCGCGTGCTCATCGTGAGGATACGCCACAGCAGCCTCCACTGCATCTTGACGAGCACTCGCGAAGTCTGCCATCAAATTATCAACACGTACTGAACCAGATAGTATAAATACACTATTCACTGCGAGACCAAGTCAAGACCGTGCGAAGGCCGGGGTGCCCTGTGCGCTGCGCTGTGAGGTCGGAATCTATCCCGGCGTCTACTTCGATGCGACCACATTATGTGACAAGCCTGCCCTCAAAGCTAGACCGCTTGAAAGTCTGAGCTCAGCATCGTCCCCGGCGTGCGGCGTGTATATAGATATTTATATATGTATATGTATAAAAATATATGTATATATACACACATATACATCTACATATACCTATACATGTACATTTTTATGTATATATATTATAATCAATCAACAATTGAAACGATCAATAAATGAGTAAACACAAAGGCTTAAATAAATAAGTTAATACTTCACATATACATATATATATATATATGTATATATATATATACTGCCGAAACTGCAAACCTGAATCTCTCCTTAAAAGGAGGACAATGAACGCAGCAAAGGAGCGTGGAACCCTGCTAAGATTCCTTGGCAGGGGTTAGATAAGTGAAAGGCCACATTTATTGAGCAGGTATTTCATACTACCACTGACACCTAACCATCTGTCCCGGCCAAGATCTTTAAATGAAGCTTAATATGCACCTGCTTCTCGATTCACCTTGTGCAACACAAGCGATGTCCCAGCCTTGTCCCAACACGGCAGAACACGAGAGACGCCTGCAGGGCACAGGCTGTTTTTGTTCCTTTTGGCGCTCGCATCCAAAACAGGGCACAGCGCCGTACGGCACAATATGGCATCTGGGATCCGGGGATCGATTTATTGAAGTCTGGGTTCTTTACGTTGCGTCACCAACTTGCCCGCGGGTGTACTAGCGCTTTGCTGCTGCACTTGAGCAAGGAACAGCCACAACAAAACCTATAACAGGGATCCTTATATTATACACCTAAACATTGCCTTGTAAATGGTGGTTTCCCCTTAATTTTGGTGGAAAAAGCCATGTTTCAAATGGGCAAAATGTATCTTTTAAGGAGCCCTGCTATAATTTGCGTCTTTGCGCTACAGCAAGGGTAAGCTGCCCTCCTGTCCCTGGCAAGCCCCAAAACGATGCAAGACGGTGTGCGCGCGCGCGGCTGTGTGTGTGTGTGTCAAATCAAGCTCGACACCAAACAATTACAAACGAAATGCGCCTGGGCCCAACAGCCTTCCAGGAGAAGTCGCAAGCAAATACCACCTTCAAAATCTGATCAAATCGGTTGGCTGCTGTCCAAAAGGCCTGACCGTTGCCTCCACTGCAGCGTCGACTGCAGCATTTGTACTGCGCGACTCACGTCCAACTGCCGGGCCACCAGGAACCTCCGCTGAGAGTAAAACTCTACAGGCGACAACCTGCCACATGTGGCCTTGAAGGGACTCAATGCAGAAAGCTCTGCCACGGAACAAACCGTCAAAGACGAAAACGAGCAGCATGTGTCTGCCATTGGCAAACCTCCTCGCCTTGTGGGGTGTCTTCAGGATGGATGATCGATCTAGTAACCATAGCCTGCTTGTGATTTGACCAAAATCCAATTACCAGAGATGTCATCCAAACTGACCCACTAGCCGAGCTAAACATGTCTCAGTGAGTTATGTGTACCAACAAGAACACCAGCAAAACCTAGATTGCAACGCCAGAAGAATTCGGCCTGCTTATCATGGCAGGCTGCCCATGTCAGACATTGGCACCCCCAGAGTCATGTCAGACATGGACAGCCTCTTCGGCACAACCTGACAAACTATTCAAGGGCCTGCCAACTGCTGAACCCTCCCTCAGCAGCGGTCGAGCTCTTCATAGGTTCTGTACGCCAAAAAAAATATCAGGTTTCGTTTAATTCAACCCCGGCGTCTAGACCAAAGTGGGGCTCGCTTTAACAGCAAAACGGAAAGCGCACCGCAAGCGCCTGATATCCAGCACCCCCCCCCCCGCCTGAGCAGCACCCGGACATCTCGGGGCTGCACCCAACCAGAGCCTGGATAACTGGCACAAAGGCTCTGCATCTGCCGCAGCTTTCGAGAGACCTCCTGGGCATTTGGGATAGAAGAAACCCTATGGACAAAGTACCTACCCTCCCACCAATTAACATGGAACCTGACAGGAGGTCGCTTTAAGAGAAAATTGACTTCCAAGACCCCCTGTCAGGTTCTGTGTAAATTGGGGGCGAGGGAGGGCAAGTGGGATTTGTTCCATTCACAGGCAGCCGCGGGACTGATCCTCGGCTACGGCTAGGTGTATCCAAGGATAGCCCCCACCACGGCCTCCCTTGGTCCCTGAAAGGAAGAACGAAGGGGCAACAAAAGGCGGAAAGGGAAACCCAAAAGGCTTCGCGCAATAGGGATCATAGGGGCTAACAGGGATATCACAACTGGGCCAGAAGGGGATGGTGCCATGTGTGACGACACTCATGTACCGCACGATAAAAGGTGTCGCTCTTTTCATGGCAAAGCATGATGCACATAACATCTCGAAGATCAGAGAACACGAAAGGTCGATTCGAACTGTCTCAGTAATAGTGAGTATGATCTACAGTAAATCAGGGTGGACTGACACACAACATCCAAATCCGTCCGCCCTTCTGGAGTTGTAACGTTGCCATCCACTTGGATGCTCTTAAAAGGATGAGGGTATTGTGGTATGGTAGAGCAAGGACAACTTTCAAAGCATGATTTGGTTGACACACGCTGACATGTTACACCCAGCAGGGCAGTTGCCAGAGTCTAAAGTATGTGATTGTTTGGCAGGCAGTCACTTTCGAGAAGGTCTCTACGACAGCGCGTTTCAGAAGGTTTGGCAGCATTTGTGCTCATGGTTTGGCCGAACAACCACATAAAACAAGTTGTTGGAAGTGAAGAGCTGTGGCGACACGACGATACGCACGGGCTCGAATCTATCTGCATGGCGGGACCCACTTCAGGGTTCTAAACAAATTCGGAACCTGATTGCACAAATTGCTAAACCTGACCTGGTTCTAATAACCATTTCAAATGTTCAAACAAAACAAAGTCCCAGCTTGCATTACATCAGCTGGAGCGCGTCGAGCATCCTTTCTGTCTTAAAGGGACCCCCCTTCCAACATGGGATCAAAGAGCAAGAAATCACTCCGCAGGTCCCGATCCCCAGCTGAGGAAAACGGCGGACCTCCCGAAAACATGACCCTTGTACCAAGAAAGCGGACATGCATGGACATACCTTCCAGGGGTCAGAATCCCATCCCAGTCCTCGTGCTTCTTTGGATCCACCGCTGCAGCCTGGCGCTGTTTAACGCATCGGGGGAATTTGCATGGCGTTGCCTCTACGGGACCTGTCATTTTGCAGCACAAGAAAATGATCCGTGTAAGGGTTTGCCTCTGACTGGTAGGGTCCTCCGGATTCATCCGAAGTTAACACGATAAGTGTGTGTGTGTGTGTGTCTGTGTGTGTGTGTGCCCGCTTGCTGGTGTGAATGTCTGTCTAACTGTGTGTGTGTGTGTGTGTGTGCTGTGTGTGTGTAGGCGCGTGTGTGTGTGTGCGCGTGTTGGTGTTGTGTTGCATTGTGCTGTGCTGTGCTGTGCTTTGTGTTGTGGTGTTGTGCTGTGTTGTGATGTGTTGTGTTGTCTTGTAATGCGTTGCTGTGTTGTGATGCGTTGTGATGCGTTGTGATGTGTTGTGATGTGTGGTGATGTGCTGTGATGTGTTGAGTTACGTTGTGTTGTATGGATTGTGGTGTGTGAGTGTGTATGTGTGCTGTGTGTGTGTGTGCTGTGTGTGTTTGTGCGTGCGTGCGTGCGTGCGTGCCTGCGTGTGCGTGTGCGTGTGCGTGTGCGTGTGCGTGCGCGTGCGCGTGTGCGTGTGCATGCGCGTGGGCGTGTGCGTGTGCGTGTGTGTGTGCGTGCGTGCGCGCGTGCGTGCGCGGGTGTGTGTGCGTGTGTGTGTGTGTGTGTGCGCGCGTGTGTGCGTATATGCGTGTGTGCGTGTGTGCGTGTGCGCGTGTGCGCGTGTGCGCGTGTGCTCGTGGGCGCGTGTGTGCGTGTGTGTGTGTGTGTGTGGGTGCGTGTGCGTGTGCGTGTGCGTGTGCGTGTGCGTGTGCGTGTGCGTGTGCGTGTGCGTGTGCGTGTGCGTGTGCGTGTGCGTGTGCGTGTGCGTGTGCGTGTGCGTGTGCGTGTGGGTGTGCGTGTGCGTGTGCGTGTGCGTGTGCGTGTGCGTGTGCGTGTGCGTGTGCGTGTGCGTGTGCGTGTGCGTGTGCGTGTGCGTGTGCGTGTGCGTGTGGGTGTGTGTGTGTGTGTGTGTGTGTGTGTCTGTGTGTGTGCGTGCGCGCGTGTGTGTGTGTGTGTGTGTGTGTGTGTGTGTGTGTGCGTGTATGCGTGTGTGCGTGTGTGCGTGTGTGCGTGTGTGCGTGTGTGCGTGTGCGCGTGTGCGCGTGTGCTCGTTGGCGCGTGGGTGCGTGTGTGCGTGTGCGCGTGTGCGCGTGTGCGCGTATGCGCTTGTGCGCGTGTGCACGTGTGCGCGTGCGCATGCGTGCGCGTGCGTTTGCGTTCATGCGCGCGCTTCTTGTTGGCATGCACGCACACAGCACACAACTTAATGGTCTTCGATGGCCCCTGATCGGAACTATTGTCACTTATGTTAGGCTCTGGTTCCCTTTGGCGCTGCATAGTATTGAGATTTGTTCAAGTGCCGTCTCTTTAGGGGCTTACTCCTGCCAATCACAAAACACACAAAAACTAGCTGTAGGAAAATCAAAAACAAAGCCCCACAAGCCCGAACATCATAGTGTTTCTCCTGTATTTTGTAGATGTCGCTGCATGCATGGAATCTCAGCGAAAGAAAAAGCCTACCGCGTGAAGTGATGTTGCTGCCGCTTTCGAAGCGCTTGAGCTACGCTGGCCTGGAGTAAGCTGTCCAGGTCGTCGTTCATGGGGCTGAAGGGCGTGTTGTACAAGTCGGACCTACCACAAGCCCGTCACGACATCTGCACAGACTGCCGAACAGCCCTCCATGTTTTTTGTTGCTCTCGCGTCAGGTTGCCTTGAATCACCCACACACAACTCATGATCCCAGTAACTCAGCGCGATACTCTCTTGCCAATGATGCTTTTGAGCCTTGCATGAAGAAACGAAGCCGCTTGAGGTGTGAATTCTTCCATTTGCTTAAGCCCGCTGGAACAAATGATACCATATTTCCAACAGTGATAGATTCCCTTTAGAACCAACAGGGGAACTGAATTAAAGCGTGCAAAGTTGAAGCAGAACCATGTCCCACCAGCCTGGCATGACCGTACTTGTACCTGAGCACAATTTTGGACGACTAGACTTGGCGAGATGCGCTCTTTAGGGGCCCGATTGAAAGCTCATACATGTGTGTATGTATACATATTTGCACGGTATATATCACGTTGGACATGGTGGCCCTTCGAGAAATGTCATTCAACAGGAAAGCCGCTCTGATAGCCTGCCAGAACCTGAGTAACACAGCAAGTACCGTGTACGAGTTTGTGTCTGCCGCCTTCAATTATAAAACCTTCGCTCTCTCCTGAAACCTGCTGCTACGGCACTGGCTGCAAGTTCAGGCAGTTTAAGAATGCGACCACCGTTGTCAAGAAAGATCAGTTGTCAATCCGGGACTTGCCAGAGATTCAGGCAACTGCTTTGACCCTTTAATATATTTCTGATATGCAACCCATTGTGCTGGTCTTGATTGAACGCCGCAATCGGGCAACAAGAACCAAGGCCCAAGGCCAAACTGAGTCGCAAGTCGCTGTTCCAAGTGATGCCCGAGGATAACATGGAAGCTCTCAGGACCCCGAAATGGAAGACTTAGTTCCACTGACAGGATCTGCCTTGTGGATGAGCCTTTCTAAGGGGCCAAACCCTTTGGTTGGTCTATTTATGGTATCGGAATCCCGGCTCGTTTTGGGATTTGGACTCCCCAAAAAGGTGATCTCCTTTGGGTTTCCTCTAAGACCAAAGCAGGGGCCCTTGAAGAAAAAACAAAAACTGTATAAATATATAAATAGATATATATTAGCTAATATATGACATATATCATCTAATATATGACTGCAGCTTGGCTTACAATCTATTCGCTGATGCTCGATGCACCACTTCGAAAACTGCAGATCTGTCGACGAGCCGCGCCTTCCCGCCGTCCCGACTTCCCGAACTCTGGCCACGGGGCTCGGCGCTCCAGTCACTCCCAGCTTCCTCAGTGACGTGCTTTTTGGAACGTTCACGTTGTCGCTTTGGTCTAGAGGCAAACCAGAACGGTACCACCCCAAAATGGGGGCTCGCCGAATTTTAACAAACATACCCGTCTGAGTCATATCAACATCTGTGAGTACGGGGTCTGTCTGCCCTCAAGAAATCAAATCACCTGTTTCAGGTTGGGACTGTCCCTAAGTTTCACCTCTCCCCCTTTCGATTGTGGCTTCGTACAAGTTCCAGCCCAAGGAATCGTGAAACACCGAGCGAATCGAGCATGCTAACCAAATCAGAGCCACAAGAAGTCCTGCAACGGTTCGGCTAAACGAGCCACCCATGCATATTGAGCTTTTGTTGGGAGAACCTTAGAGTTGGTTTCTGGAATTCGGCAAGAAACAGATGCCCGACATGGGCGTTCCGAAAACGGCATAAGGGGGTTCAGCTGTTGAGGTCCAACACTATGATTGAATTTTCCTCGATCTGTGGAGAAAGAGTATGTCAACAACAAGGATCTGCCTTCTCATTCAAAAGAGTCCGAGTTGAGACAGCTCTGGTTTGGACAAGCCTGACAGGAAAGCCACAAGAACAACCCGGTATCAACCGAAGTCCACTCAAATCCAATCAACACGATCTAACTCACGTAGAACCTACAAAGGCGGCGGCCACCGCTCGTTGTCGTTGGGCACGCCCACTCCAATTGACAAGATGTCGGCTTTGTAACTCAGGCCAGGTCAGGAACCTTGCATGCTTATTTCTGGCGGCAAATACCTTCCCTCTCCCGACCAGCGTATCAGTCCCGGAATATACATATATTGGGGATTGTCAAATTTAATATGGTAGTTGGTCGCCGTCTCAACCATACTGTAGAGGCGATTTAGAGGATGTCAAAAAACCACGCATGTTGCAACTGGGTCCCCTGGACTCAACTTGGCATCACACAAGGCATGTAGATGCATTCAAAGGAGGGCCATAGGCCGCTTCATCTGCGCTACCACCCCCTATGCTGGTTAATAGATGCTCCTCTTCTTTGACATTGACCTAACAAAGCCACAACAGGATGCTCTGAGAGTGTGTTGCCGGTATTGATAAAATGAGGAAACAATATGTTTGCAGGACTCTTTTTGAGAAACATGTCCTGGCATGAACACCATATTGAAAACATGCTCCCGCAGAACTGCTTCTAGCATTGCTTGCACATGTGCTGGTGACTCTGTATATCTCCACATTCTCGCACCCCAACAAGGTGAGACAAACAAGCTTTGAAGCGACACTCGACCATAAAGTCAGCGAAATGTTCATTGACAAGAAGCTGCAGCACGTCTGCGTTCACCTCCCATGCAGAGACTGCACATGTCCTCGGCTTTGGTCAGGATGAGCTGGGGTTTGCACGGCACAGGCTATTAACGCTGTGTGGGGAAGGTGGTCTCCATGATTTTTACATTTTGCGAACTTCCAACCATCTGCAAACTATTGGATGGCGGCCATCCAAGCAAAGTTGAACACTTCTGTTTCCCCAGATGCACTTACGAGCCGGCACTTGTTGAATGCGGGTTGATTGCCTTCCCCCTGCCAGTGATGCCGGACTGGCCATTGGCGAGGGAAAAAAGAGATGCGAACTGCATCGTCCCATGTTCACCAAGAGGGGCACGGCAGCATTTCAAATTAGTTGATGCAAGTACAAGTGTAGGTGAGTCAGAATCCGAACCCGGTACACAAACGGTTAACCCAGAACCCTGCAAAGGATTGAAAAGCCCCATATCCCCACCCATTTGTGGCCGTACCCTCCAATTGCGCGAATTGGTTTTGAGGACGTGACTCAGGTGGCAAGATCCAGTTCGCATCATGCCGTCACATTTTCCTTGCGTCCAATGCGCTCGCAGGGACCAGCAGCTTACCGGCGAAGCCTGGCGGCATGTCTCCCCCACGCCCGGAAGCTGTGCCCTCGCTAAAGAGGCATCGCTGTCGCACAGGTTGTGTTTGCACCCGAAGTCAGGAGGCCCATGTCAGAGGTGATCGCATACCAGCGGTGCTGGTGTTTTGATGTCGAGATTGTCAATGGGATTGGAACCAAGCCCCTACAAAAGTTGCATCGATGGGCAGACTGTTAAACTAGATCGACCTGACTTTTATTTCTCGAAATTGGCTGGAGCAGATTCCCTTGCCCGACAGAATTACATAAAACAGAACACTCATGGACTCATGGCTGTTGGGAGTGTATATTAGCTAATTCATCGAAAGGCTAAATTGCAAATGCTCCTCCGTTGCTCATGGAACTCGGACAATTATCCGCAAGAGACACACGTGCAAAGGTCGAGCCTATACATCGGCAAAACATCTTAGGCTGTGCCAGGCAACGCACCAAATTATCTCTACAACTCTTGGTATGGTAGCAAACAACGTTGCGTTTTGCAGGCCCCCTTTAAAAACCAACAGAACCAAAAACAAAAAAAACAAAAACAAAAAAACAAACGCTTGCCAAGAACAGTGAAGTTATGAACAACATCCTTCTGTTTGATCAAGCCTGCTCAAGAGCTCCTCGATGACAAACATGCGTTGGTTGGAGAGTCTCATGATACCTGAGCGTTCTACGTTTTGCCGTCCAAGCTTGCAAAGCACCCTGCAACAGCAACCAACCTCCACTTCAGGCCTGAAGCACAATCTGTTTGCTTTATTAGCATGTACGGTTGTGAAAAGCTGTTGCCTTCAGCAACAACAAAAGAGGACAAATTGTGTGGTGCGGTCATGTTGTGCCATGTCCAGCAAAAAAACAATGCAGCCGATTTCTTGTTGACACATCTATATTTATCTGCACCCCGCACCTCTCTATCAAGCAATGTAAAAATACTCTATAATGCAGCATTACCTTTCAAATGACGACACACTGAGGCGCACTGAAGAAGCAAGTCAGCCAGGGTTCAAGTGCAATCAAATTGGAGAAAACATCGACCAAGGCTCCAATCGATGGCACCAGCTGTGAGATGGTATCATTGCGAAAACAGCGATCAAAGCACCAAGTTGATCAAGGAAGCAACACAGCATGCTGCTTAAGGACCGCAATTTCGAGAAGGAAATTCATGCCACACTAAGTGGGGCACCGAAATGAGTTTCGGAGAGCAGCAATATAACGGCTCTCTGATCGTCATCTCAACTTTCCACGCCTCGCAGTTTGAGCGTGTCGACCCACTGCTTCGAGGGCCTCAACCAAAGTGTGCATGCAAAAATGACATGCTGCCGTCAGACCAGGATCCAAAGGATCACGTAAAGGGTACCTTTTCAGGGATCATTTGTTGTGCTCTGAATTACGCGCGACTGGCCTCTGACCTCCGCAGAGAATTCTGATTATGTTTAGTGGGAAGCCAAACGTTTTGTGCACGTTGATATGCAGTCCACAAGACCGGAAAGGTTTCCAATGGAAAACCAGGCACAGACACCCTTCCCAACAATTCCAATAGATACCACATTGTCAGAAGGGACTTCCCCAGAACATCAACAAGCTTTCGAGAGGCAAGCGGGGGAGCATGATCGCCGGCAGGACAACGCTCAAGACCAAGGGTACCGAACCCAGCGCCCACATCCAAATTCACCTCTCCTGTCGCAGTGGAGGCCGTCTCCGAGAGCGTCTGCTTCTCCATCCTGCGAACCGAGCGGTCGCTTGGCGCATTGGGCGTGCGGCCCAAAGCTCACAGCGGGGTCGATAGGCAGCAGGCGCTGGGCAGTTTGGAGCAGTCAAGGAGGGCTCCGAGGGTTGCAGAGTTCCGGGGGTTGCTGTTGTGGATACCGCCTGGGCTGATTTAGTAAAGGTCCACCCCGATGGTTTTGTAGATGCCAGTGTGCGTTTGCCAAAAAAAAACATATACACACAAAACGCAAGTTAGCGGTGTTGCTTTGTCTGGCGGTTCGCATTGGATCCGGTCTGCTTCACAGGGGAAAGGGATCGCATGAACAAAGTGGGAACAAATCAGTGCATGTCGTGATGGGTAGTGGATGGCGTGTGAACTGTGCAAAGTTCCTCCTGCCCGCTCACGGGATGTTACAGCCAAGGGACAATCAAGCTGCAACATTTGGGTGTGTCATGTTTTTTAAAGGGGACCCCCGAAAATGGTGGTGTTCCTTTTGGTTTTCCTTCGAAACAACAAAATGCGGGGCATAACTCAGGTTTGCTAACCACTTACTAAGTAGCCTGCCCCGTGAAGAGGGCTATCCCGATTCACCCTAGTGAGCTAGACACAAGCAAGGAACGCATGCATCTGTGGGCCATTGGACGGGGACACACGTTGCATCATTCGAAATCGCACATGTGGTGTGTTCTTGCTCTCCTCGGGGCACTAGGCACAACGGACAGCCACACCAGCATTGCCAGGACCATCAGGATCACAAAGATCGCCCAGCACACGGGTTGTGCCTTGCGCTGGATTCACGCACGTCGCAGTGTATCGTTGACATTTTACATCTAGGAGGTTCTCAACATGGTGGACCCCTTTTGGTTAGTGCATAATGGGAACCAAAAGAAAAACCAACCATTTAGGGGACACCTACTTGGAGAAACTCATCTGGTATGCAGTTGTCTTCAATTGCGTCACGAGTCCATTTCCGCAGAGCAAGCAAGTTTATCTGACTCCTTTGAAGTAGAACATGGACTGACCTACTCAACCACATGCTCAGGGTACTCATATCTGCTATCTTGTTGGACCCGTGGGCAAAGCATTCCAACTACGTATAGCCTGAAGGCCCCACGAAGCAGCACAAATGATTGCAACTGTGACTCATGGCACCATCCTCCACGTCAAAACCCCTATATGGCCTATGGTCATGGTTCCCTTCACTGGAATCATTGTTACGAGTATCCGTGTGAACCCCCCAGTAAAGGTGTCTTTTGACTGTGGCACACAGAACGCTGGCCTTGGCTGCCCTGATTGCACCACTGGCACTGGCCCAGTACATCCTACAATGGAAAACATCAAAGTTACCTGTGCTGAAGGCCGGAACATCCTGCTCAATGTGCTTGCCAGGCTTGCCATGTTGCAAACCTTTTAACATCTGTTAGTACATACAGTCCACAACCCCATGAACTGACAAGCCCCTGCCCTCTCCGTGTTGCGAATCCTGTTTCCTTATTGTTTTCCTTTCAAGCAGCCCGAAACAGGCCACCCCAGAGACTCACATTGTGACAATCCTTCTTGATGTTGCGAAGCCGAGACTCAAAACAGCTAGGGCAACGCTGCTGCCGCAATTTGTTTTCAATCGAAACAAATCGTTGAGCAAGCAAGCGGCAAGAATCCAAGGCCAAGTTGCAAGCTGGACTTCATCCACAAACGCCATGCTGGCGATAGGCCAAGCTGCGCTCTAAGCAAAAACACCCATGCTGAACAAATTGTGGGTCCTGGTGCTACTCAACAAGTGTGCTTTCAAAGAACAGGTGAAGTACCTTTCCTGCAGTCGCAAACGGGCTGTCCCATGGGTCCTCACATCACAAGAGCTGAATTGGCATGCCCGGCAAGCAATGATGAACCTGCCGCCTGTTTCCGACTCTGGCTTGCTGCGTGGCTCAGAAACACTAGCAGGAACCAAAGGTTGCAATGTGCCACATGCGCCAAAATCCGGCGCCCCTCCAAATAGCTGCTTGCTCCTTGTAGTGGCAACAGGATCCAATAGGCAAGGCTAAATCATGGGCCAGAATGGCCAGACACGGCGGTTCCGAGAGCGGAGTGGAGTTTTATCCAGGCAGAGCGTTGGGATCTACCTCGACTCCAAGAACTCAGAGGCCAAAGTGCTGCAAGGCACAAAGAATTGTGTGTGTGTCTCTGCCCTTTCCAGGTTGGTTTAGAGGGACACCCAGGGAACATACCCTTTTTTTGGGCTCCGATTCTAACACATACCCAATTACAACCTGGCACCAATGGTTCTTTCTCGCAGGATGCAATCGGATCTAGCTTTGGCCGTGCTTGTCCCTGAGCATTCTGAGCTTTTCAAGGGCAATGCGTTGGTTCCTCGCTGTCGTGGATCAAGTGCCGAGTCTCGCAAAAGTTACCTTTGAGCAAAGATGCTAAATTAAGTTCTCAACATATGGGTGTGTCTGAAACCACTGGATGGTAGCTTTCCTTTCGGCTCCCCTGAAAACCAACCCAAGAAAGTACCAAATCCAAAAACAAGACAGACCAAATGCTTGGAAGCCTAACTTGATACTCTGCCCTAGGAAACTGAGTCTGCTACGAATGGACCTCCTGGAAGTCTCCGATGAAAACACAAACACATCTTTGTATCAGCATTAATCCCGCTCGCGTCGAGTCTCTTGGGGTGTCCGCCTCAACCAGAGTTGAGAAGCTTAGCATCTGACGGATCCATGCAACTCCTTTCAATGATATGGTGGCTGACGACAAGGCCAACAAGGGCAGGTTTGCCCAGCGTGGCAACACAGGAAAAGACTCTGCACGCAGACTGTCCCAGCCTCCTCAGAAGAGTTCGCCTGTGGAGGGTAGCTCGTCACAGTGTGCAGAACTGGATAATGTTGCTTACGATATAAACAAAACTGCGTAGGAGGGATGCAAACGGCTTGGACTGCGCTTGGTGTCGGGAAATTATATGAACCTTGCGAGTAGTTGCACATTACCTTATCAACGCCAAAACCAAATGCATCACACGCACACGCGCAAACACGCACACGCACACGCGCAAACACACACACACACACACACACACACACACACACACACACACACACACACACACACACACACACACACACACACACACACACACGCACGCACGCACGCACGCACGCACGCACGCACGCACGCACGCACGCACGCACGCACGCACGCACGCACGCACGCACGCACGCACGCACGCACGCACGCACGCACGCACGCACGCACGCACGCACGCACGCACGCACGCACGCACGCACGCACGCACGCACGCACGCACGCACGCACGCACGCACGCACGCACGCACGCACGCACGCACGCACGCACGCACGCACGCACACGCACGCACGCACGCACGCACGCACGCACGCACGCACGCACGCACGCACGCACGCACGCACGCACGCACGCACGCACGCACGCACGCACGCACGCACGCACGCACGCACGCACGCACGCACGCACGCACGCACGCACGCACGCACGCGCACGCACGCACGCACGCACACGCACGCACACGCACGCACGCACGCACGCACACGCGCACACGCGCACACACACGCGCGCACGCGCGCACACACGCGCACACGCGCACACACACACACACACACACTCACACACTCACACTCACACACACACACACACCTACGTCATAAGCTGATTAATGCAACCAGTGCACTCGATTATTTGTAGGTATGTCCAGTAGGCGCCTGCTTGGCGGTTTTGCTCAGCAGCTTGTCGTAGGTGTGCTTGGTCATGCACGGCGTTGAGGAGCACGACCTCACAGTGCAGAAGTTAAAATAAGCGGCCCAACTTGAATGGGGTGCGTGCCTACAAAGCTCTTTGAATTCCCACCCAGGTTCCGTCCATCAGCCTTCATGCACACAAATCCGCCGCCCCCTTTGTGGACGTTCTTCATCGCACTTCCATACACCAGTTGGACATTGTTGAAGCCTGCTGCGCAGCAATAGGCACGGTCCAAATAGTTTCAGTGGGTGGACAATATCCTGCACCAGTCGGATCGATGGTTCGAGAGTTCGAGACCAAGACAAAGCTTGTCACTTGGTTTGGGATCCCGATTTCTTAAGGGCATAACTTAACTTTTGTTACACCTTTGGGCTGCCAGTTTTGAGTCGGATTCCGTGCGAATTCCCAAAGCACATGCAATGAACCCTGACTTCCGTGTACTTGTTTTTTGTAGCTTCTAGTGAAATACTGTGGATGGACCAAATCCTGCACCAGTTGGGATGAAGCCCTACAAATACTGGGTACCTCCAAAACGTTTGCGATTGGCTTCAAGAGGAAGCCAATCTGAGAAGGCAACCCTAAAAAAAACAATCCACCCACCCGGCGTTCTTTGGATTTCCAAGCTGCATTGTGGGCACAGGGGCAAAGGTTCGATGAAGAAAAAACAAAAGCGCTACACGGGCGTGCCTATCTGGCAGCACTAGATTGCCGCTGCCGGTGTCAAAGACCACCAGGAACTCCTCGCGACGTGACTTGTCTAAGGGTCTTCGAGCATTCACCTGAAGACGTGCCCTCGAAGTGGGAAAGGCATGCAAGTGGAAGGGGACGGACTTGTTGAAACAGTGAACGCGTGATCCGCATGCAACATGCACAGCATATATATATATGGTTCACCCCATTGCTAGTGGTTTCCGCTTGGTCTGGTGGCAAGGGCACTGGTCTAACCCATTTTCAGGGGATTTGCCGAAATACGTTTTATGGGGTGCTCGTTTCAGGGAAAAGGGAAACTGCCTATGTTTGAGGCTTCCCCTATAATCAGCATTTGTTTGCCGCCCACAATAGGGTTTGCCAGAATGCAGCAGTAAAGCAACGAGACGCTGCTGTGCTACGCTGGCTGATGCTCTCGTGCAATGAGCAATCAGCATCATCTGCAATGCATCTGAACAGACTGAATGCCCTGAGCATGCAGGTCAAAAAACACATTTACACTTCAAAGGGAACATCGTCATAATGGTTTCTGTCCGGCCCTGACATAAACCCACACAATAGTGTCCTCGCATGCGTTCCCCTATATTCAACATGTGCAACCCAATGTTGCTTAAACGCTCAAATGCAATTGGGAAGCCAAGCCAGTGTGACAAACACAGCCTGCAGCACTTACTTCTGGCAAGCCCTCTACGAGTATCAGGTGTATGTGAAGACAAAGGACAACACATAAGGCAACAACGCACTCCATAGGAGTCATAATCAAAACCTGGTACTAAAATGGTCTACCCAGAAAAATGCTGAGAATTCAAAAGGCGGCTGCGGCTATTCTCGGTTGGGATTATCCCTTACTCATCTTCATCTACCTGGGGTTTGTTTGTGGCTCACATGACCGGGCTCATTGTCCAGATCTCCAGTCCAACAAAACAAAATTCCTTGCCTCGGGCTCTTCACACATGCGGCACCCAAGCTGACCCCTCCTGCGGTGGATGCCCCACATAGATCTTGCCATAGATGGACAACGGCGCCGGGCTCCTGGCAAACAATGCTTAAGCTGCGACAGATGACTCCCAGAGGGCTTCAAACCAGAAGGTCGGATATGGCGCTGAAGGTCAAATGAGTCAAACATAAATAAACAATGGTACAACAATGGTGAACCCAAAGACATGTAAAGAGATACCAAGGCGGCGAAGGCACCCATTGGCTGGGACTGTCCATTAACCTTCAACTACCCGGGGTTTGCGTCACGCGGCTGAACTATGCTAAACTATGATCTGACACTCTGTTTGCTGACGGTTTTTCTGTTGATTTCTCACTTTTCCGAAGCCCAGAAGGCGTGAGCACTGCCAAGAAGGATTGGTCCTCGGCGGGGTGGCAGCGAGCGCCGCAGGCGCCTGGCAAACTGAGCCAGACTTGGACTTGAGTGAGCAACAGCCTCAACAGCGTAGCCGAAGTGTGTGTGTGTGACTTGCCGGATGCATCAAATGCCTTGAAACACATGCCAGACTCTTTGAGAACGCGGAACATGACACGGAACATCACTAATTTGGCAAGCCATTCGCGGGAAAGGCTGAAGCATCCAACGGCGCTACTGCAGAAAAGCAAGGGTTAAGCCTTCTGTTTTAGCCCATGCTCATCATTCGCATAGAAGGTGTCCTCCTTCTAACTCTCACCATTCACATGACCCTACAGAAAAGGTGTTGTTTGTCCGTCTGAGAGAAAGCTTGCCGTTGGCTCCCTCCCTGGATTACATGTTGCTTTAGATCAAACCGCCTAAACAACATGTCAAGACATCGCACATATCGGCAGCCTGCTTAGTTTGGGTGAGGTTGCTGCATCCTTATATCGATTGCCCGAATTCATGCTGCGTCCTGCTTGCCCGCGCCTGCGACTGTGTTGATGAGGCTTGTCTCCTGCGCTTTGGGCAAGAACTTGGGGGCATCAACACATTGAAACTAGCCATGGACACCGTCATGGAATGAACCAAACTGATCAAACAAACGCCCATATCAATGAACCCTGGGAATCATGATCAAACTGTGAACGGGTTTATAGAGATGGCACAGCCGGCGGTTGAGTGCGAAGTGTCGGGACAAATCGTGCGCAAGATAGGGCTGATTTGATAAACAAGGCTGAATACACGAGGTTCGAGATGCCTCAGAGCAAGCTTTCAAAACAGTGGAAAGAATCGAACTATAGTCTGCTTTGCTTTCTATGTGCGC